AAAATTTATTTAAAAGACAGAAATGGAGACTGCCACTTGCTGGTTCATCCCCAAATACCCCTAACAGGGCTCAGCCACACTAAATACAAGAGCCAGGAACTCAATCCAGGTCTCCCATGTGAGTGGTAAATTCTAAATGCTTGAGCTATCACCACTGCCTCCTAGGGTGCAGGCAGCTGCAGTAGAACCAAGTATCAAATCTAGGTACTCTGATAAGAGATGTAGGCATCTTCATGGCTAACCTAAAACACTGCCCTCTTTTGTAAAAATTCAGGTTTAGTGAGTCCCGTGACATGGTGGATATTCACCTACATTTACAGATAACCTGAAAAACCTGATTTAAATCAGATCTTTAGGATAAAGACATTTTAACACTAAAAATGTTTCATGAATTTCAGACTTTAATGGCTTTCTTTTATGTGATTAACTTTGTCTCTGAAATCTTAAGTTTGTTGGACTTCTCATTAACCTCATGCCCTAAACTCAAAACACAAAAAAAGGCACACATCATATGGTATACCGTCAGAATCTTAATTCTCATAGCACTGAATGCAAAATGTATTACTGCATATTACAATACACACTTTTTATATTATTAGATGAACCAAAAGCTGAGAATTTAAGAAAATTCTACTGTAACATTACAAATCTTCTAATATTGGAATGTTATACTGTAATTACACCCAAAATGTTCCCATTTTCAAACATTATCTACCATTGTAGATAGCTGATGAAAATATTTATGGTTTGCAAAGAATTTTTCTTTTCAGTAAAATGGATTATCGTTCCAAAAATGGTCTTTCATGTTTATGAGGGACAAAAAAACAGAGGGAATCACTGTATTTGCATTAATTTTCTTTCAGTCTATTTCATTCTGTGTGCGTATCAATCTCAACATCATAGGGAAAACACACATTACACTTTTTGAAAAAACAAGAAATTTAGGGATGAAAAATGTGGTTTTTTGGATTATTATTGGCTTTTTTGTATATTCCTCTAGTGAATATAGTACTAGAAACAGAACTTACTATACTGATTCTGCCATTTAATCTTAAACATAAAGATTACTTGCCATATCTTTATGAAAATTCACTAGATACTGTAACAAAATTATTAAAAATCTGTAGTTCCAAAAAAAAAAAACAAACTCTACTAAGGTATACAGAACCCTGACAATCCTATAGTATGGAAAATAACAGTGCAGCCATGACTGCATTCAAGCTTAACTGCTCTCTCAGCCATAATTCCTATTATATAAATACGGAATAAATTCAGTAAGTTTGACAGCTCCAAAGAAAACTGAAGTTCTGCTATTTTTCAAAGCTAAATTATGAATGTATTGATGTGTTTATACATACTTTGCTCTGTAAAAGATCAAGTTCAAGATGCATTGTAGTTTTAGAAGCTGGTATACTTTGACCACATAGTTCTGAGGATTACATACCATGGAGAAATAATCAAAGGTAGACAGATTTTTAGGGGCACAGTAGCATCATTTATATTAAAGTAATAAACAAAAAAGGCACTAAGTGTCCCAAATGAGAATTGATTACTTGGGGATTCATTTTCAAATGAAGGAACTCTTAAAAATGGTATAAACTTATCATAAGTGAAAAATGGCTACATTATAAATTATATCCCAGTTTTTAAAATACCCAGTGATCATTTATTGTAACAAACTATAATACTATGCCTTTGCTTTAAATTTCTAGCTTCTCTACAATGACATATACAAATTTCATGTGATTTTTTTAAAAAGGATTTTAAAAGGACAAGTTTATTCATACTTTGTGGAGAAATTCTTCTTGGATTAAATAAATAACTTATATTTGCTCAGTCCTCAGGGGCTGGCTATATATACAAGTATGTGTGCTTTAAAATAATTTTACCAAGTGCATTGTTACTGATTAATAATCAAAGTTGTTGACTATTTCACATCCAAATATATTGTTAGATTTTGAGACATGTGTGCTTCTATGATGTGAATGTATTTTTTCACAGAATTGGTATCACAATCAGAAGTTAACAAACTTAATTCACCCATATTACAGATAAAAGGTATATCTACAGTGAAAAACAAAAGAACAAATATACAATACTTGTCATTCAGTGAAGTTAAATACAATATGAACACGCTGAATGCTAAGCAGGCCAAATGAAATCAGGAGGGAGAAAATAAAGTTCAGATAAAAATGGTGAATATTATGAAGCAAAGTTCTCTGAAGGCTTTCAATGGCTTTGAAGACTGACATTATGAGCACTTTATGTCTAACTTCACATCTTGAACCAATGGTATTTTTATACATACAATAAAGAGTACTCCTTGACTACCAAGTGGAATAAAGAGCAAGTTTCCAGCAGTTAAGTTAGGAATTAGAAAGGGTAATGAAGATTTTGTGTATGTGTGAGAAAAGGAGCCAAGGACACATTGGAACCAAAACTGACAAAAACAGTGAGAATGGAGGGTAAAGACAGGAAGAGAAAATGTGGAGCCATTTCTTTTTGTAAACATTTTCAAGGCTCTCAACTGTGAATACCTGACAGATATAAATTTTTCTTTCTAGTCTATGTTAATATAACTGATGTGAGAGGTAGGGCAATTTTAAAACGTTAACAACTGTTTTTAGTAAGACTATTTTATTTTAAAAATTTGCAAAATATAAAAATAATAAACATGAATATTTAACAAACAAAACAAATTCAACTATAAATAAAAATGTTGACAATCTCACATAAACATGTAATACTATAAACATTCTAAGCATACAAGAGTAATTTTCTAGTTCAAGTTTTATCTTTTTCAGTTCAAGTTTTATTATCACTTCTTAAAAATAAACAAAAAAGCTGCTACAGCTTAACCAATTACTTTCCCTCCACTCAAAGAGCAGGGAATTTTTTTTTTCCCATGCCAACACACATTCATGAAATGGGATACTTATGGGCACAGGTATTAAAAACTGGAACAATCCAGTCTCCAGACAAGAAAAGACTCCTTTGGTGTTTTCAGATTCAACAGTCCACAGAAATTGTGTTAAAATAAACCACTTATTAAAAGGAAACCTGGTGCCAGACAGTAAGCTTAAGTAATTATCACACCTCAAACAAGTTCAGGATTCTAAAGAATCAAAAGTAAACATCTATGAATGCTTTGTTGATAACTAACTGTATCTTATGAACATTCAGTTGAGTGCTGGAATGAAATCTTGGGGACAAAACAAAAATCTACACATCAAAGCAAAACCTTTACAATGTAATATACATGTCTTTACAACTCATCAAATGTTCTATAAATATTTAGGAATTACTGTTCTTCCTATTGAATCAGACTGATGGAAATTTAAAGCAGAGCAAGATCATGTCACATTTTAGGATTAGAAAAGTTTTCCATTTGAAATGAGAAAAAGCCCTGCTGTGAGCCAAATGAACAACTTCTTATCAAAATAAACTACTGAGGAGATGGAAACTGGGCACAAATAAGTGTACATTCTGCATCATTTCCTTAAATTATGAGGTGTTTTTAAAGGGCTGGGCTCCTTAAGTGACTCAGCACAAACCACTTTTATAATTATTCTGCTAGATTAGGATATATCACAAGCAATCATAAATGAAAGCCTAGCAAGGTCTAGACAACAGGTTCAAAATTAATAATGAAATGTTTTGTAGCACCAATAACATTTTCCTAAGACACTTGAGGGGCTAGTATAACTTTAAAGTATTATTTATCTTGTAAACAAGACCAAAAATATTCAGTTGATCTGTATTTTGAGCATAAATATTTATAAACTCTATTTAAAAAAAACAAATATAGCATGACTAGAGCAGCTAATAGTGTAAAATCCAAGTATACCGAAAAATATAAAGATATATAAAAGGCTTCCATAATGCAATCATGCAGAGTTAAATCGCTTCATTCACTTACACAAAAGTGATTCTGTACATTATCTACACACAGCTCCATAAGAATCTTATTCAGGAAAATGAAATAATGAGAACCGTATCTTAAATTTATCAACATATGGGAATTTAAATATGTAACTGATCAACTGGATTTTGGCAATTTTCAAAAAGCACAATGATCTTAATGAGAATGAAACCATACTGACTTCCAACTCTGTTTTTTTCTGTTGTTTTTGTTTGTTTGTTTGTTTTTGGCTTTATTTTGCTTTTAATTTAAAAGCAAAGGGGAAAAAAGGAAGATGCCAAAATAAATTTGAAGGTGATCCACATTCAGAAACCAATCAAAATTGTTAACAAGAAGTATCTCTTCAGAAAATGTTCTCTGGGTTCCAACCTAGCAGGGAAACTACACTGTACAGGGGCAGAGAATCCTTCCTTGAGAATAAAAAGTTCCAAACTAATCTCGGAAAATATTCATGAACTTACTTGCAGCTATTTACTAATTGCAAATGTGAACCAAAACAAAAGTCTACTTAAGAAAACGCCTTGCAGACTTTTAGGACATAATTATTTAGAAGACCTTCAAATATATATACTTTTCCTTTAATTACGCCATGTTTAACCAATGGAGATCAAAATAGATAATTTACGTTAGGACTGATGTGTTCATTACATTTTCTTCTTTATGAAGACAACTGCAACACATATGCAAGGAAAAAAAAGTGTTTGCAGAACAGTTAGCTTTGCACAAAAAAAGGGATAAAGTGAATATGGCTAGATACAAGTAAAAAAGGGGTAAACATAATCTGTGTAATTTGGACTTTTTTCTAATAGATTTACTACCAAAAGTAACTACCAATTTCTAAAATGTCTCTTGATAATCTATGAAAGAACACTCAGAAACTTTGTCAAAAATTTTTTTGATGATGCCCACTATGTATGTGGGTGAATTCAGCATGAGGTTTAATCATATTTGTTATAAGTCTAAGCCATATTGCTTATAAATTATACCTCACTTTTTAAGGAGATGAAAACTATACTCTTAAGATTGTCTTTGATGTCTTATTGCAAGTGAAGAAAACATGAAAAAAAACCCTGTAAAATTAGATATTTAATAGATATTTTAATATTTATATTCCACAGATCATCATCTATTATTTGCAAGAAAAGAAAATTATTCGCTTTGTTTTGAAGAACCAAGAATAAAAAAGAAAATCGGTTGGGTGAGTGGTCTTGGCAACACACATAAACACATTCAGAAGAAACAGGCAAGCTATTACAGGGTTAAAAAAGTACTTTATCATCTGTTCAAAATTTTTTAACTGACTATTAATCCCAGAAATATATATTAAAGCCCAGAAAAATTTAAACCAAACTCATATTTAAAGTTTTTAATTAATTTCTTCATTCTAAATTGTTCACACTAATGAACACAGTATCATGGCTTTATAGATTTCCCAGACACAATTCCCAATTTGGCTGAAACTGAATGTATCTCATATTAGGAAACCAAGAGGCTTGTTCCTTCATAAGGTGTATTTAAAAAAAGAAATGGTTAGAAAGAAAATACTGAAAAATAAGATCAGAGCACACATTTGGATACATTTCTAGACTCAGATGTACTCTCAGACTAACCATAAAGATAAAATGATAATAATGTACATGTGAACATCTAATTAATTAATTAATAAAGGACACACATAAAATGATGGAGTGATATTATTTTAACAGTCGTCTCCAGACAGGAACAGCTCTTGCTCTTGTAGGTCACAAAGCTAAATTCAGGCAATGATGATTTCTCTCTGCTGGAAAAAGAGAAGACTATTAAAAGAAAACCTTTGAAAACAGTAAATAAATCTAAAAATTAAATAATACCATAAACTGACCTCCAATTTCTCTAAATGTTAAAAAAAATCTATTTGAGAAAGGAATAAAAAAAAATCAAAGTTGTAGACGAATTACACAGAGGACCATTTTTGGGCTAGAATGATTTTTAACAACACTTCTCTATATCATGCTCCCTTAAGTCATTGAGCTGTGAAGATCAGACAGTTATCACATGGCTATGATCTAAAATTTTTAGCTAGACAATCTAGTAACTTAATAAACAGCATATTTTCACAGAGGTGTGGATAGGCAAAGAAGTTTTAAGAAATCAGGAACAAACTTTAAGACATTGTAAATAAAAGCAAAAATAATTTTCTCAAAGCTTCCCAAATATTTAAAAGTAATTGCAAGGTATGTGTAATTTCCTTTAAATGCCATATGATGATCATTTCATTCTTTAATTACACTATATAATGTGAAATTCCATACCAAGAGCACAAAGGGCAACAAGAAAAAAAGGAACACATCAAATGAGACATTGTTTGGTATAAAGGGGAAGGCTAACTTGATGATGGAAAAATGAATGGACAGATGGAATAAACAGGAAGGGAAGGATTTAGAAAGGAATAGTTATAGAATTGACAGAAAAAAGCAAAATTAAAAATGGTTTCAATTGTATTAAGTAATGAATACATGATACTGATAAACTGTAATAAAAGTTATATCAAATTAGATGTTTTTCTAAGCAAGCATGTTGTCATTAGAAATTACTGAGAACAGTAGCCATTTTCACCAAGATTTCTTTCTGTCCTAGACTTTTAGGGAGCTATTTTGGAAGAATATCTGTTTTATCTGGTAAGTATATAATGAGAGAGAGAAAAAGAGAGAAAAGACTCTTCTCTAAAGGCCTATATACATACCTTAGAGCAACTAGCCAGGTCAAGAAGTTAACAAGAACAAGGCAGTTTCTGAAAGCTGGGAAAAGGAAATGTCCTTTCTGCCTCACATATACTTTACACTAGTATTTAATTCTACAGTAAATTTTCATTTTTAATTTATAGGATTTTAAAAGAACAGAAAAGGCCTAAGAAAAAGACCAAAAAGTGAACTAATTTAGTTACCTAGAATTTCATGCAGGACATTGTATTTTAAAAGGCTAACAGTCTTTTCTAAGGGGGAAAAAAGTTTACTTAAATAAATTCTAGAAGGACGAAAACGAATTGTCCATAATTAGTCTATATTACATGTTAGAGGAAAAAGAAAATAAAGATTGATCAAATTTGTATAATACCCTAAAAGCCATTGATATTTCAACATACTGAACAAGAAATTGGTTTCTTTCTGAACCTTCATAACCAATGGTTAGTGTCCCAAAATTTGAAATACAATCCCCCAAAACCTAGTTACAAGATATTTCCTTCAATTAAGTTCAGCCATGCTTTCTATAATTAATCAGCTAAAACAACTTAAATTTTGACTTTATAGTAAACTACTAGGTATTACATTTGATCATAATACAATACAACAAAAGCTATGGAAAACTCCCATTCCTGTAACACATTTTCAATAAATGCGTGGGAATCAGTTAAATAATTATTAAAATGTTACAATTACCCAATAACATTTAAAACAATGCTGCTTAGAGACATAAAAGAGTGAGTAAAATATGTAAAATGACAACTCAACCATCCCTTGAGGTAATCCTAATCAATCTTTGTACCAGTAATATTTTCTCTCTTTTTTTCCTACAGGAGCTGTTTACATTGTCCTCAATCCTTTGCCCACTCCCAAATCAGCCTGTACAGCCCAGTTCTGTACTAAAGCAAAGAATTTGTTAGAAGAGCTGTTGGATTAAAAAATGCATGTATAGTTTCAGGCAGCACATTGTAAAAGGAACAAGCAAAGTAAACTGAGATGCAAAGATTTAAATCCATCTTGGTGGGAGAACTGACTGTATCTGATTACAGGCACATATTTATATTTGTAAACACTGAGGATATAAACAAAATGAAAAGTTAAAAGTTCTAATGGGGAAAGGGAAGTGCCTAGTGAAAACAGAAGTTAGTCTACATAGTTTGAATGGAATTTGTGCTGGCAAATGCAAGCACTTTGGAACACCATATAAAAACTGTACCAAGAGACAGTATATGAATGAACATACATCTAAGTTGTTTCCACTGATAAGATGATAGAAACAACAGCAACAACAGATAGGAAGTATTGATTTAGATATTTTAGGTCAAATGCTAATATAGTACCATGTAAATTTCTCATGTGAAAGTGACCTTAGAGATCATCTAGTCCAACCCTTTTCTTCACAGGCAGGGAAACAATCCTTGATGAGGTAGGACACTTATCTGAGGCCACAAGAGTTAGTTGCATAGCCAGGACCAAAAATCTCTTACCCCCTGGTCCAGTCCTCTACATTAGGCTGTTTTTAATATAAAAACTAGTTGGGTGGACTAGATTGTAGTTCTCAGCCTTTGCAATCATAAGATACAGAAATCAAAAGGCTTTTTACACCTGAAAATGACTGTTAACATTTAATATTTCAAAATATTAATGGTCCAATTATTGTGGAAATGCCACTTGGGATTACATATGTATACCTCCAGCAGTACTTGTCACCCCACTGTGAGCAGCTTAACTGTATCAATTGTTTAGCAAAATGGTCCTAGTGACTGAGTAGACCTTCAAGAGAGATTTTTAGAAAATTGATAAGAATTAACAAGGGAGGTAATTGTCACTCCATTACTGGAGATTTAAATATGCACTCATTCATTACTTCAATCAATAAACATCTATGTGCCCATTATGATCAGGGCTTTATGATAAGCATTAGAGATAAAAAGATGAATAAGACATGGTCCCCTTCCTAGAGGAGCTTGTAATCTAGTGGGGAAGACAGACATATAAACCAGATAAATTAATTACAACATAAGTACTATAACAGAGATATGAACAAAGTGCTGTATTAAAAGGGAAGGAAAAGTAGGAACTACCTAATGACCAAGAACTTCTAATTTTTTGCAGTATCTTTGAGGCAAGAACTATGACAATTATATAAACACAATCTCATGCACAATCCATAACCAGGAAGAGGCAACAATGTGGAGTTAAAAAAATGGCACTGGAATCAGAATGTCTACATTTAAATCTAATCCTTCCATTTACTAGGAGTTAAGTCACTCCATCTGTATTAGCATAAGTTTCCTTATCTGTAAAATGAGAACTAACTACTTCAAAGATGTGTCTTAAGATTTAAACGAGAACATGAAAGTATATGTAGAATATTAGTATTTATAAATATATTCATAAATAAAAATCTAGTAATAACATAATACTAAGTAATATTTATAATTCAAATCATACAGATGCTATAAAGTATAACTGTAAATCTAATCAATGTTTGTGATATTTAATCCCCATAACTTGGGACCAAACTGAAACATATCTTTTAATTTAGTGGGAAAAAAAAAACAACACCACTTAATACATTTTAAATCTAGGCTACTAGAGAATTTTATGATAAGGTAATTGAATGGCTATTTATGGACTGAAATAAACAGAGTAGATCATTTCAGTTACTTTATAAAGGGATTTTACAATAATTTTTAAAATATCAAATTATAAAGCCAATAATCAGTATGGAGCTTTAACTGGCCTTTGAAAGATTTACTTTCTTTATAATACCTGTTTGGTGTAAAGAGAAGAAACGTGAGCCTCTGCCAATTTGGCATCTTTCACGACTACTAAAAAGAAAAGAAAACAAACTTACCTAATGAATCAGAATAGCACATAGTCAACACACAAAAGACTACATAAAAATATATCATAGAGCTTAGTAAAGAAGCTTTTGTGTAAAGTCACTATTTTGACAACTGAAATCTGATTTTGAGATTTTAAAGTATAAACATGTGCACCAATTGTAGCCAAACATTTCTATAAAATGGTATTATCAAGAACATACACACAACTTTAACCCCAAGGGGGGTGTGGGGAAAGAAGAACACCCACAAGTTACTCCATTAACACAAGATCATGATGGTGGCAGAATTAACAGTTTTTGATTGTGAGGATCCCAATATGGAAGAAAGTTATTTTGAATGTAATTTCTAATATTATCATTATCAAGAAAGGAAAAATACTTGCAGCAAAAATGATGAATTTAAAGATAAACATGTCACCTCCCACCCCCTCATGCTACAAAGAATGCATTTATTTCCTAGAAACTGCTATATTAACTTTCAATGATCATGTTCACTTGCCAGAGAAATCCACTTAAAAATCACATTATTGTTGTAAAGGTCAGATTTTTATACAGGTATAGGAAATACACACTTAAAATATCAGACTGAAACACTTACCAAACAGTGTTTTCCTAAAGTAGTATCTATAGTACATTTCTTTATTCATATATCTTCAAATGGTCAAGTTTTCTTTCATACATCCAAAATGTAATGTGATGTTTTCTTATTCACCAAATGTTAGCTCTACTTGAAGTCTGGTTCCAAACTAATCAGCCTGCTTTTAAATTTTAAGACATCTGTTGAAAATTTATAGGATCAAACCAAACTGAAGTGGTATAAATTTTAAACATTGGATTGTACATTATTATAAAGGTACCGGTAACTATTATTATTATTAGGAATAAGTTAGTGATTATAACTCCTTTTGTGATAATTGGGGGGAAGGGTAGATCACCATCTGGAATGGTCTATGTATTTTAATTTTTTTTCTTTTTCTTTTCTTTTTTTTTTCTTTTTTTTCTTTTTTCTTTTTCTTTTTTTAAAAATCAAGGAACATTGTCTTGGTCTTTTTTTTTTGTCATTGCCTTTTTTTTTTCTTTTCTTTTTTTTTTTTAAGAGACCATTCCACTTTATTTTTTAACATCCAGATGCATAAGGGCTCATATGTAAAGCAGTCATACACCATTATCATTAAAACCCATATGGTAAAATACATACACAAGTCCAACAAAAGGCTAATACATAGTAAAGCCTAGGCATACTACTATGTAATATTATGAATACATAACTTGGAGACTTTAGTTAGAGTACTATGTTATCTATTCATTTTTGAAAACATTCATTAAGATTTCAAATGCAAATTCATTCCTTATTTGGAGTAAAACAAAATCCTCTAAGTTATAACAAGTATTGGTCATAAGTTTTCAGACCTATTCATTAAATTACAAAGAACCCAAAGAATTCTGTAATGTTCATAAGTATGTAATAAAAACATTGCATATGTTTCTAGTGTGATGTCTTTAGCAATTGTTTACTGAAATAAAACGTAAATATCAATCTTTCAAAATACAGGATCAGAAGGTAGTTTTCTTCTCTCTTGTCTATTTGTGAAATCCATCTTCATCACATTTTACCAAAAATTGTTTTTACAAATATGTAAAAGTACATTAGATAATACTAATGCAACACAGGTAGAGTTCTAGCATATGCAGATCATTGATCAGTCAAATCATCTTCTCCAAGAACGAGATTCATTGTCCTCTTCTTCTTCATCATCATCTTGAAGTAATGAGTCATCCACCAAAGACTCTTCCTGAAACTTTAGGTTAAAATGTGTTTAGGAATTTACCCAAAAAAAAAAAAAAAAAGAAAAGAAAAAAGGTGACACTTTTGAATATTGAACTCTCTCAACAGAGCTGAATACAAAAGGTATTTCTATAGCTAGAACATTCAAGAAATAAAGAAAAGCAACGTTTATCCATTTAATGGTTTTCTACAGTTTCAACTGCTTGCATGAAATAGGCACCAAAGAAATACCATAATAAGCCTTTGTACATGCCATTTCTCCTGCCTCTCTTTACCAAATTATTCCACTTTCTACATATTCAAAATAGTGCTCAGCATTTTTGTAAAAAAAAAAGTCATAAGTTTTCTGACTTATACTAACCCTGAACACTAATGAACCAATAACTTGCATAAATTCTACCGAGATTTCTATTTCTTTTCTGCTACATGTAACAAACATTTCCTTGTATAGCATTCCTTTCTTTCCCACATTCCCTTTATTAAGTTTCTCAGACTGCTTTTTCAAACTTTTTAAAATACCTAATACCAGGAGCTCTCCTGCTTTTCTCCCCATTGAATTCAAACTCATGGAAGGACAAAGGTATAATCTAAAATATAAAATGACAAATCATGTATATGAGTTTCATAATACACATTTTATTCTTGCATTTGACTATGGATATGTATAACAGCCTTGAAATGCTCTTCAAACAAAATGAAGTGCCATTATGAAATCTAACATAGGTAAAATATGGACATATTACTTTCCTTACCTTAAACTTAGAAACTTTTTCCTACAGTTGTTTCATGATTAAACAAAACAGTTAATTACTTTTAAGTGTTTGGTTTCCAAGGGCTCACTTTTTTCACGGTTCTGCATGCCCACATCTCTCAGTCATCAAACTAACTACTGATTCCCAAGCAAAATGCACTTCTCCAAATCTATCCTAAAGCTTATCACTCTGCCTGAAATCTCTCTCTCAACTACAATTCCCAGTCCATTGTTGCTAACAGAAGGCTATTTTATCACTTAGGGTCCAGCTCTACTGTCAATACCTTCTTAAGATTCTTCTTGACAGTAACAGTTACTCCTTAATCAAGATTTCCACAGCATGTTGTCCAAATCTGTATTCAGCATATCAGTCTGCCTTTTCTTATAATTAATATCTTATATATCTGCCACAACCCCTCTTTCCAGATTATAAGCTCCTTGATAACGGGACCGTGTCTTATTCATTTTTGTGCCTATCACCATATCTACCATATAGCATTCATTCTAATGAACTAAAATGATATGAATTAAAATAAAAGAAAGCTGAAATGTTAATAAAGCAATTGAATAGAACTGATATCCTAAAACTTAAAAATGTTACAAGATTTCCTGTGGATAAAAATCTAATGAATAATTATGATGTTCTAAGAGTAAATGAAACTCAGTATATATGTGGTTTTCTTATATTCTCTTTGGATTAGCAATCCACAGTTCTTCTCATTAATCCAGAAAATTTAGTTGTCTGTATTTATCTGATACCCCCTGCCTGGAATATGGCTCAGGAATAAAAGCTTATGTTAAAAATCACAGCCATAAAAATCACACTTTATATAAAAACTATAAACAATTAAGGGCAAAAACAAGTGGGAAAAAAACATACTTCCTCTTCATCAGGTTCAATTTCTTCTGTTTCCACTGCTGAAATATTAGCTATTGGTTTATTCCATGCCAGTTTTAGATCCTGCCCTTTGAAACGGGCTCCATGAACTGCAGCCTAAAACAATTAAGAACATTGGAATATAAAACATTAGTTATTTCTGAACAAAAAAATAAACACAATTAAAGACAGCTTCCTATTTTCTTTGCAACGATTATTCATCTCTAAATTTACTATGTTATTATAATTTATTATACTTATATAATTTACTTTTTATGGTTCTTTACTTCTAAAACTGGATTAGTGATTGGAAATAATTTTAAAAGGAAAACAGGGAACAGTTTAACTCAGCAGAGTTATTTCATCACTGGTTAATATTTGACCAGAAAAAATGTCTATATGTTTACTATATAACAATAACTATTTAAGATAGCAATCCCAGGGCATTTCAAGATCCTGGATGTGACTTCAGAAGCAATGTCTAAGTCAGGATTGTATTTTAATTGCTGATTTACAGAGATTATATATATATATATTTATATTTATATATATATAAACTATTAGCTAGAAACCTTTAACAAGTATAAGAGCAGTTTTACATTTGTAAGGTATCTCATTATTTTCAAATTATATCAAATGAACTGCTGTAAAATGTCTGATGTGTAATATGAAACACAGATAACTCAATAAATGGGAAAAATCCTTGACCTTTTCTGTTGCAAAATACAGATTTCCTCAAAGCTTTTATAACTCAATATGAAAAACTTTGAATTTTGGAAACAGTCAATTCTAAGTACTTGCTATCTTAAGTGCCTGGTTTGGAAACAGTGCATTCAAATTAAAGTAACACAAAGTAACATAAATCAATGTTAGCAACATACCGAAATAACTCATAGTCACAAAAGATTTATAGCACAATCTCAAAGTATGGCATAATATGAAATGTAGAAACAATTACAGGTTCAGTGACATCTGAACATGAATTGTGTGATATTAAAGTCCCTAGGTATAAATTTTAAAACTGCACATATAAATTTATAATAAATTTAGAAGATTTCATGTCCATTAAAATGCAGCTTAAGAGTTTTTAATCTATGGTTTCATCACAATGTCATTCAACTAGAATTTTTTTAAAGTAGTCACATATATTTAAGTTCAGAAACAAATTGCAAATTTTAAAGCTATAATTATTACATAAAAATACATCATGCTACTGTAAGAAATTCCAATTATTGCATGCAAAATTATATTCATAAAACTCATCTTTCGATTCAGTTTCTTCTAAAAAGCAAAAAATGTTATTGACATTTTCCATAATTTCTTAAGAAAAATTTCTCATGAACTACTTTACACATCTTTATATTCAGCACACAATTCAAATTTATAAGATGAGCCTACACTTTCCAGTGGCACAGCAGGTTAAGCCATGGCATAGGATGTTCACATGCTGAGATCAAATCTGCCTCCACTTCTGATCCACCTTACTGCTAATGAGCCTGAGAAACAGTGAATGATGGCTCAAATACTGAGTCCCCGCCACCCACATATGAAAAACTAAGTACATTTAACTTTTTAATAACTTTGCTCCATTGGAAACCCGACTATTAGACTGTGTAAATCTTTGAAATAACTGAGTTTTTGCTTAATGAAGATGTAAATGTAATTCAAGAACAAAAATTCCTAATGTTATTAGAAACATTATTTATATTCCATAGTTACTTTCACTTTAACAACATTTTATAATAAACAGAAAATTTAATAAATAATATTTCAGGTAATTTACAACATAAAATCTCTAGACAAATCCTTCTGCAGCCCACACATTTTTTTTTAATTCAAAATTTCAGACCATATAATGTAAAAAATTCTAACACATGGTTATCCTATCCTCAAGAGGTAACCACTATTCTATGGAGAGTTTGGAATAAAATCCCACAAGTATTTTTCTACATATATACCAGAAAACTTTGTGTACACAAGTATATATGATATGTTTATGGGAACATATTTTACTAATTTATATCTTCTTAAATTATTACAATTGATTTTTCAGATACTTTTCAATATCCACATTATATGTCATTTTTCTTGAATGAATGGATATATAATATACATATTATATGCACATGTGTGTTTATATAATTAACAAACTCACTTCTATTGACATGAACAATTTTGTCTTTTTGTAAATATGTGTGACTTTCTATAGGAATAAAATACTTCTTTACTTCTCAAGCAATGGCCTGTCTATATTCTAATTGAATGGAGTTTGTCAAATGTATGGCAACGTTATCTTCCTCAGCTGGATTCCGATTCTGTTTATAATGTATGCTTTTACTGAAGATGAAAGGGTGGTTGTTCTTTTTGTTTTTTTCCCATGAAGTTTCAGATTTTCATATATTAGAATTTGTCAACATTTTCCTTTTCGAATACTGTACCATATTTTTAAAAGCCCTCTCTACATTTACTATTTTCAGAAATTCCCCAGCCTTTTCTAGTTTTATTAAAAACAGAAAAAGAAAGAAAAAAAAAAAAAAAAACAGGCCGGCCTTGTGACGCAGTGGGGTAATCCACCACCCAAAATGCTAGCATTTCAATGAATGAGCACTGGTTTGAAACTTGGCTGTTCTACTTCAAACTCAGCTTTTGCTAATGCACCTAGAAAGCAGCAGAAGATGGCACAAATGTTTGGGCCCCTGCTACATGCATAAGAGACCAAGATAGGGTTAAGGCTCCTGGCTTCCATCTGGCCCAGCCATGGCTACTGCAGCCATTTGGGAAATGAACCCATGGATGGAAGATCAATCTCTCTTTTTGCCATTCAAATAAATAAATAAAATCATTTAAAAAAAAAAACCTCTTATTCAATTTGAATTTATTTATATATACAAAATAAAAGACATAATGCCCTTTTCCCCTCAAATAAATAGTGGGCTGTCCTAACACCACTTAGTAAATAATCTGTCTTTATTCCTTGTTTTATTTAAAATAACTCCTTTGTGATAATACTAAAACCCTTACATATACTCAGAATAAAAGAGTACAGAAACAGATCTATCATCTGTTTATTCCATACCACTTCTATATTTTTTTAATTTCATAATAAATTATTCTTCATTCTTTTCACAATATTCTTGGTTATTCTGATGCTTTTTTGTCCTGTGACCTTCAGAATCTTTTGGCCAAGTGCAATATCATATTGTCTCTATCACCACTACATAATAATTAATATGAACTAGATCAGTGCTTTTCATAACAATGCACTGTGGCAGTCAAGACTTCTGCAAGCATTTCACTAAAATTCACTTGGAAAGACAAACTACATTATCACTTATAATATGTTAATAAAGAACACCATTTTATATTCCATAAGATGTCTACTTGAGCAAGGTGGAAGTAGTCAAAAAGGTAAAAGTGGGGTGAAATGCTAAATTCATAAACTAAGAAAGGAAGTATGTGGCAGAAATAACCTCAAATGAAGATAAGATTAAATTTGTTCACCTTAATTAAAATACAGTTAACAATCCAGATAAAAAAATTTTTTGGAAAAACTACCAAAGTATAAACAAAGTCAGCATAAAAGTGTATACAAATACAGCAAATAAAAAGAACATTTTTTAAAAAACTTTATTTATTTGAAAGGCAGAGTTACAGAGACAAAGAGAGATGGAGAGACAGAGAGACCTTCCATCTGCTGGTTCAATCCACAAATGGTCACAACGGCCAGAGTTGGGCCAATCTGAAGCTAGGAGCTTGGGCCATTTTCCACTACTTTCCCAGGCGCCTGGATCAGAATTGGAGCATCTGGGACTCGATGCCTTACCTGCTACAACATGGTGCTGGCCCCCCAAAAAGGCTTTTTAAAAGATTATGGTGTAGCAGGAAAAGCCACTAAGATGCCAGCATCCCACATGAGTGCAGGTTCAAGTCCCTGTTGCTCCACTTCTGATCCAGCTCCCTGCTATTGTTCCTGAGAAAGCAGCAGAAGATGGCCCAAGTGCTTGTGTACCTGCACCCACATGGGAGACCGAGAAGCTCCTATCTCCTGGCTTTGGTCTGGCCCCGCCCTGGCTGTTGCAGCCATTTGGGGAGTGAACCAATGGATGGAAGACCTCTCTCCGTAAATCTTTCAAATAAATAAATCTTTAAAAAAAAGGTATGTTGCCCAACACCGCGGCTCACTTGGCTAATCTTCTGCCTGCGGCGCCAGCACCCCGGGTTAGTCCCAGTTGGGGCGCTGGAGTCTGTCCCAGTTGCTCCTCTTCCAGTCCAGCTCTCTGCTGTGGCCTGGGAGTGCAGTGGAGGATGGCCCAAGTGCTTGGGCCCTGCACCCACATAGGAGACCAGGAGGAAGCACCTGGCTCCTGCCTTCGGATCGGCATAGCATGCCAGCCGCAGCGCGTCGGCCGTAGCAGCCATTAGGGGTGTGAACCAATGGAAAAAGGAAGACCTTTCTGTCTTTGATTGTCCAAAAAAAAAGTATGCTTTAAAAATTATTTCACAGATAAATTCCTATAAACTTTTAAGAAACATATCTACAATGCTACTTAAATTATCTCAGAGTACAAAGAAAAATGGAAACATTTCCATTTTTTCAAAAAGTAAAAGTAATATTCATTTGTACCTAATGAAAATAACATTCCTCCCAAAATCAATCTTAAAAATATGTATTTTAGAAGTAAAAACAAAACAAAAAATTGAAAAAAAGGACAGACTTCAGTGACTTATCAAAGAAAAATACAATTGGATATACATCAAAAGTAAATGGCTAGTACAGTAATAAAAAAGCATATAAATAGATGAAAGGAAAGAAAAAAAAAACCTTCATCATCCTAGAAATATACAAACACAGGATAAAATCCATTTTGGATTAAAAAAATCTTTGGTAGTTTTTAATAAAGCATAGTTTGTATTCGACTTTAACACAAAAAGCCAGCATCTAATACTAAAAATACTAGAAGCATTTTAATATATTTTATCAAGATACTATTACTAGTGTTTTTAATATTTTTCTGAAAGTACTAACAGTGCGAAGTGTAGAAATGTAAGAGATATAAGTAAAACTATTATTTTAATGAAGTTATGATTGAATGACTACTGAAAAAATCCAAGAGAATGAAATTACAACTATCAAAAAGTAATTAACATGGCAGTTAGATATCTAATAAAAACAGATGTTTGTTCTTCCTACATACAATCAGTATGTATATTAGAACATATAATGAAAGAGGAGCTCTCATTTAAAATAGCATTGAAAAGAGGAGATATCGGGGAGAAATTTATAAGCATTTATGATCTTTATAAAGAAAACTTTAATGTTCTTAAAGGATACAAACAGACTGGAGAACTTGAAAAGCAATGCCATTCTCGAGGAAGTTATAATATTATTAAGATGTTGATTTTTCCATAAATTTTTCTATCTCTTTAGAACCAAATAAGGTCATTCTAAAATTTATATATAAATATATTTTTAATGACTTATGTATTTGAAATGTGGAGTAATGGGGTGGGGGGATAGAGAAAGATGCCTGCATCCCATATTGGTGTGCCTAGGTTCAATTCCCAACTCTGCTCCCAGTTCCAGCTTTTGCTACTGCACATCCTGGAAAGCATTCAGTGATGGCTTGAGTAGTTGGGTCCTGCCATCCATGTGGAAGACCCAAATGGAGTTCCTGGCTCTTGGCTTAGCCCTGTTCCAGCATAGGCTCTTCAAGGTGTTTGAAGAGAGAAATAATAGATGGGAGATCTATCTGTCTCTACTCTCTCTTTCTGCCTTTCAAAAAAAAAAAAAAAAAATTGGCGTCCTTATGTCAAACATATTGATTTTTTTAAAGATTGTATTTATTTATTTGAGAGGCAGAGTTACAGACATTGAAAGGAAGAAACAGAGAGAAATGGCTCCCATCCGTTGGTTCACTCCCCAAATGGCTGCAACAGCTGGAGCTGCTCCCATCTGAAGCCAGGAGCCAGGTGCTTCTTTCCGGTCTCCCATATGGGTGCAGGGGTCCAAGGACTTGGGCCAACTTCTGCTGCTTTCCAGGCCACAGCAGAAAGCTGGACTGGAAGAGGAGCAGTCGGAGCTAGAACCAGCGCCCATATGGGGTGCCAGCACCGCAGGCAGAAGATTAACCTACTACACCACAGTGCTGACCCCAAACATATTGATTTTTAAATTTCTATATATTATTTCCTTGAAATCTAGAAGCTTGAAAATCACTAGTCTATATTCTGCTTGCCTAAGAAAAGCTTCAACTGAATTTTATATTCTTTTCAAAATAGAATGTTACAGACTTTTAAGAAACTTTTTGGGTTAAGGATATGTTGGTAGTTTAACAACTTTTATTACTCAATTTCAAATGTTTATCATAGCAGTAGTAGTTATTCTCTTCAGCCTACTGAGTAAATCCAAATAAAATGGTATTTACCTTGAAGAGGTAACTCTTTAGATCTAGCTTTCATCTTAGTTATTCTTTTTTTTTTTTTTTTTTGACAGGCAGAGTGGACAGTGAGAGAGAGGAGAGAGAGAGACAGAGAGAAAGGTCTTCCTTTTGCCATTGGTTCACCCTCCAATGGCCGCCGCGGCTGACATGCTGCGGCCGGCGCACCACGCTAATCCGAAGGCAGGAGCCAGGTGTTTCTCCTGGTCTCCCATGGGGTGCAGGGCCCAAGCACTTGGGCCATCCTCCACTGCCTTCCTGGGCCACAGCAGAGAGCTGGCCTGGAAGAGGGGCAACCGGGAAAGAATCCGGCGCCCCGACCGGGACTAGAACCCCGTGTGCTGGCGCCGCTAGGTGGAGGATTAGCCTATTGAGCTGTAGCGCCGGCCTCATCTTAGTTATTCTATCACTTATTCAACTTTCACATAATTCAGTGTTAAATCTTTATTAAACCGGGTATTTTTACCTGACACCTATTCATTTTGGAAAAAAAATATACATCATATATGAAAGCATAAAAATACACATGTAAGGTAGAAAAAGCAAGACCCAACAAAAAAGACATGTGTCACTAGGTCTGAACAACAGGAAACCTCCAGAAATTATTTAAGCAAGAATTTTTTTTTCTTAGCCATGTAAGTAAACAGGGAGTAGTACACATGTTTTTGAAAGTTCTTAAAATATTTGTAATATTTTAACCATTTGTACATTAACAGTTAACATTACCTTATAATAGCATTACTTAAAAAATGAATGACACATTGAGATATGCTACTCAAACTACATATGTAACGATGGAATGAAAATCATCATTGAAGCCACCAAGAAAGAAAGCTTATCTAAACTTGTACTCAATAATACCTGTAAAAGAAAACTTGATCAAGTTCTAGTTTTTCAATATAGCACACATACAAGTTTACAAGAAAGTTCCAAACTCTTGTCAAGTAGAAATTACTTTTCATTTTTGCAAATGATTCTTAAATGAGAATACTTAACTAGACTTTAAAATAAAAAACAATAGACCATCAGGAATCTATTCTAAAAAACAACCCACTATACCTCCTTCCACTACCAAAAACAAGATTGCTCCAGGGATCCAGTTGAACGTTTTTCTGAGTTATTAGCTTCAGATTTATACTAGTTAAAATGCCTTAAGAATAACTCCTACAGTGAAGTCTTCAACAACATATCATTTTAATGGCAAAAAAAGATTCACTACAAAGAATATATGTCAACTTAGAAGGTGTTTCAAAACTGATTTAGGTCACAATCAACGTAAAGCTTCTGAAAAGTATCTCAATCTTCCCAAAAAAACAGAGTTAAATGTTTGGAAAAATGATTTTGTTCTTGAGGAAAAAAAAAAAAAAAGACATGGACAAAATAGTTACTTTATCTTTTCTACAATTCATGAAGAAAAAATACAGAAGACTATGAGTCCCCCACACCTCTTACACTTTCGTTTTTTTAATCATTTAAGCCCAAATTAAAAACAAAGTTTTGTATATATTTGTATTTATATATTTCTGGTCAGTCCTTGGAAGGGCAATTAAGTATATAGTTCAAGACAACTCTACTAAGTATCCTAAAAGCTAGAGCATATATGTGTTTTGGGTATAATATAGCAAGTAGTAGAGATCTTGTTGGGGGGTATGTTGAGCTACTGGAACTTCTCTACAGCCATCAGATAAGGATGGTTAAGGATGGACATCAAGATTAGTCAATTTTTACTTGTCCCTCAACACTCAAAGCAGATCTTGCTCTGCGCCAGTTGAAGAAAAGAATAATGGAAAGTGTGAAGACCCTATCTCCTATAAAAAGAAAGAAAAGGAAATTTTTGGTCTCAAGACAATATAATTTGCCACTGAACTTGGCAAATGACCATATATGTTCTAATTATATATTATATATAGACTTGCCTAACTGCATTAGGCCATTCCTATTTCATAGACTCTACCTATTATTGAAACATAATTACTCAGTAAGTAAAAAAAAAATTAGTCTAAAGGAAAAAAATGGAAGGAAGAATGTAAGAAGGAAGGACAGAGGGAGGATTGTGGATAGAAAGGGAAAAAGGGTAGTACGGTTAGCTTAGAATTGTATCTATGAAATACATGAGATCTGTCCTCTTTATATTAATAAAAATTATCTAAAATTAGTCTATATTAAAACTTAAAAGCAGTGTTTATACATTTAAATTTGAATTTTTGATAAGTTTTTAATACTTACTACTTCAGCGTCTACTCTTGTCTTGAATGTAATTACTGCATGAAGTGAAGAGTCATCAATCTGACAATCTTCAATTTCACCATATTGCTTTAAATTAAAAAAAAGTATTTCCCCCAAATAAATATTTTGAAATATCCAAAAAAAATCCTAATGGCATTTAAAACATTAAATACTAATAAATATAACAGAGAATATGTAACAATTCATACTGGTTAACAGAAAAGAATGGTTAAAAATTCATTTTAGTACTTTATAAGAAAAAGGAGTGGTCCTACCTTTCAATATTACTTATAATTCTATACTTTCAAGAATTAGTAAAACTTACATTCTATTGAAATATTTTTTAAATGAAGGAAACAATGGTCAAAGCCTGAATTTCTTCTTATATTCATCAGTCCAATCTCAGGATATCAAATTCTTAGATTATTTTATGAGTTTTTAGTATCATTTCAATAAATTGGAAAAAGATTCAGAAAATTTAAATAACTTTCCCAAAATAATAATAATAATAATACCAAGATGAGAGTCCAGATTTTCTGATTTGAAAGGTTGACATTCTAACTGTGCCATATGCTCCACTACACAATATACTATTTTAAGGGTATTTAAAAGCTAATCACATTACATTAGGACTGTTTTTGGTGTGCTGGACTTTTTTTTTTCATGTACAGGAAGACTTTTCTATATGACCAAATAAAATTCTAGTCCTTTATATATAATTAGTATGTTCCTTTTTACCCCAAAATAAAATCACATCCATAATCTCATTAAATATATATACAATACAGAGAAAATTTATATAAAAAGAACTCTCTAAAGACACCCAGATCTCAACTCTGCCAATTAATATTAGCTATGTAAACTTGAACAAGTTACTTCAATCTCTTGTTTCATTTTCCTCATCTATAAAATAATGGGCATAATAAAGGAACCTACCTCATATGATTATGCAAACTACTCACAATAAGTTATTATAAAGTACTCATAACTATACCTGCCACAAAATAAGGGCTCCACAAGTTTTGGCTGTTATCTTTTATTACTACTAATCCCAGTGGGTAACTTAAGGAAAACATTTTGTTCATCCCAATGTTTATAGTCAATTTTGAAATGTGAATTATCACTGCTGACTTCTGAGTGGAGTTTGACTCTCTAGGCGCATGTAAGAATTTTCTTCTCTGAATATTTTTCAAATCAAAACCATATTAGGGGTTGGAATTTGGCAGTTATTAAATCACCACTTGGGACACCAGCATCCCTTCTTGGATTGCCTGCTTTGAGTCCCAGCTCCCCTGTTTCCAGTCCAGCTTCCTGTTTCCACACACCCCAGGAGGCAACAGATGATGGCTCAAGTGCTTGGGTTCCTGCCATCACGTGGAAATCCCAGATTGATTCCAGGTTCCCAGTTTTAGTCTGGCTGTTTCAGGCATTTGGTGAGCGAACTGTTTTGTGGAAGATCTATTTGTCTTTCAAATAAAATAAATTAAAAAGAAAAATTTTTAAATCTTAGTCTCACCAAACCACAATCATAGCAAACTCACCTTGCTTGTTTGCATTATTTTAGCAGATTTATTTCTAGTTTCCTGATTAGCTTCACAAGACACTTAAGTTACCTGGATCTCTTTTTCTCTGTGGAAGCGTATGAAAGTGGGATGCATTGCAGGAAAGAGCTGGGCTATATTATCTCAAACTTTTCTAGCTCCTTCCTTTTTCCCTCTGAGTCCACTAAGCACAGGACTTCCTAGATTCCTCATCCTTAAATATTAATCATTTTAGTTATTTCTTAAATCATTTCTTTCAATACCTCTTTATGTCCTGACAGAGTTGTAAGCCTTTCTACAGTTAAATCTGACTTTTCACAAGCCTAAATTTTTTGTGTACCTATCTACAAAAGCTTACCTATACTTTAAGATCTAACCTCCAGTTTTATTACCTCATTAAATTTCCTCTATTATTTCTTCCATCGTATGCCATTATAAAAGTTACTTCCCTAAGTTAATAAAGTACTTATAGTGTTTAATAAATTTAAGTTGATTGCAAATTATCTTCATAGTTTACTTTAACTGGTTTTGTGAAACCAATATATGTAAAAACCTTCAGGGTAAAAAACTGATTATTTCCTTCATCTCTCTGGAGCAATTACCGTAATGCTGAGGGTAAAACTGATGCTTAGTAACTAATCTTTGGGATACCACTAAGAATCACAACTTTTAAGTCAAAAGGGCCTGTAGGCAGGTGTAATCTTCTTCATTCTGCAGATGAATCTAATGAATCCCAGAAAGTACAAATTAAATAACAGATTAGCAGTGACTAGAATGCCATTCTCCTTTCTTACAGATAAATTGATTATAAGTAGATAGACTCCTTAATTAAGCCCTGACACTGCTTATAAGGCAACTTCAAGATCTCATATCAAAATTTTATCTTATTTTCAATCTGGGTCAGCTAGATCAAGACCACAGTATCAACAAATAAATTCCACTTTAACATAAAAAAAAATGAAAGGTAACATGTTAACTATCTCCTTAAAAATAAATATGAAATAAAACTAACTAAAGGAATTTCCTCTCTGAAATATTAAAGTTTAAGTCATTCATTTCACAGTATTTTAAAAGCCAACTAAGTGTAAGAGTTGTGACATTTTTTCCAGAAAATTAAATTAAAATTAATAAAGATTATCATAGATTAATCAAACCCTTTGTTCAGATTACTGAGTTTAAATTACTCATGTCTTTTTCATAATTTCCTCTTTAATCATATCTATTATCCTCAATGATGATCATCAGTATTTGTTTGTTGGGTAGTAAGAAAGTACCGCAAAATGAGGAAGAAGATCTTCTCTATCACTCTCTGTAAATGCAGAAATCTCCAATGCCCTGGGACGGTGATCCACCACAGCATGACCAGGCACACCTCGCCCTCGACCTCGACCCCTGCCTCGGCCATGAGCTGTACCTCGACCTCTTGAATGTATTCCTCTACCCCGACCAGATGAAAGAATCCCTCGTTTTGCAGCCTAAAAGAGATCAGATACACAGGTTAACAATTCTGGATTTTCAGGCTGAATATCTCTTTATATAAAATACTGAGTCCAAAAATAACTCAGATTTTAGCTTTTCAGATTTTGTAGTATTTGTACAGTTTCCCAGCTGAGCATCTCTAACCACAAAATTCAAATCTTTGGAGTATTTTGAATTAGAAAATGTCAACCTATACTAACAGAAGCAAAGTGTTATACTCTGGCAGAGGTGTCAAAATTTTAAGCAATATGTCATCATATTCAAATAATACCATATAAAAGGATCAAATAGGGGCCAGCATTGTGGCGCAGCAGTTAAGCTGCCTCCTGTAACACAAGCACCCTACCTGAGTACCAGTTTGGGTCATGGCTGTTCCACTTCCAATCCAGCTCTTTGCTAATGCACCCAGGAGGGCAGCAGAGGATGGCCCAACTGCCTGGGTCCTTGCCACCTCCATGGGAACCCAGACTGAATTCCAGACTCCCAGATTTGGTCTGGCTTAGCCCCAGCCACTGCAGCCATTTGGGGAGTGAAGTAACAAATGGAAGATCAATTTCCATCTCTCCCTCTCTTACGTGTAACTCTTTCAAGTAAATAAATAAATAAATATTAAAATAAAAAAGATCAAATTATATAAGCCACAGTTTTAGTCTTGAAAATCAAAGCAATTTTAGGCAGCTAATGAATTCAGACAAAATTTTTAACATTAAAATTCTGAAATTATTAAAAGCACCTTTCTCTTGTTCTAAGTTCTTGTTCTCTAAATCATCAGGGTATATTACAAGATGATCAGTGACTTTAGATTTATAAATAATATACAATATTAAATATAATTACAGAAGTAAATATACAGATACATAATACCTACACATAATAAACCTACTTTGCCAGTTTTGATGTTCAAATATAATGTTTCTCTTTCTTTGCCTGTTGATTCACAGTACTCTTAAATTCATCATTTTAATCATTTATTACTAACATGATTATGAGACCAATGTAGCATACTATTTTATATGATATGAATATGAAAAGTATGAATAGTGTACCATTCCTTTAAACCACAAATATTTATTGAACACTTCCTGTTTAAATTCTTACCCTCATGAAACTCAAATCTTAGAGGGGTAAAGAAACATTAAACAAGTTACTTAATTATATCAATGAGAAATTACTCAAAAAGCAAATGACTTACTTTAAAATAATGTAAAGATATGAACAGGACAGAACTTCAAAGATGTGCAGTGAACTAAACCACCCTGAAGGTGTTTTTATCTGGTTTAGTCTCTGCTTTATTTCCAACACCTACAATAGTACTTAAGCTACTGTTGAATAAGGTTGAACTTAGTATTTGCTCAACAAATCAATGAAGAAACAACAAAAAAGCCTAGAGTAAGAACAATGGAATCAAGGTTAAAAAGAATATGGTTTTACAAATACTGAATAAAACTCAGTGCAACTGGACAGATGAGGATGGAGAGACAAATTCAAATCATGCACACATGGGGCTGGCGCTGTGGCACACCGGGTTAACGCCCTGGCCTAAAGCGCCGGCATCCGATATGGGCCCCGATTAGAGTCCCGGCTGCTCCACTTCTGATCCAGCTCTCTGCTGTGGCCTGGGAAAGGAGTAGAAGATGGCCCAAGTCCTTGGGCCCCTGCACCCACGTGGGAGACCCGGAGGAAGCTCCTGGCTCCTGGTTTCAGATCTGCGCAGCTGCAGCCATTGCGGCCAATTGGGGAGTGAACCATTGGATGGAAGACCTCTCTCTCTCTCTCTGACTTTCAAATAAATAAATAAATCTTTAAAAAAAATCATGCACATAACTTAAAGGATTTTGACTTTTATCCCAATAGCCATGGACTTTAGGAGTAAGTAATGAGAATAATTTTGAACATGTTGACTGTTTGAGATGTTTAGATTTACAAGTGGAAATGTCAAGCTGGCACAACAGTTGAATCTCTACTACTATTTTAGTTTCTTATCTCAAAACAGTTAATCTTAACATTAGCTAAAATAATGATCTGAAATCCAAATAACAAGGCTAAGTGAAAGAAATGTCTAATTGCACCCTTTCCTTCAGTGTTCATATCTAGTTAATTAACAAGTTTTACCTAATTCTTTTTTCTTTTTTCTTTTTGAAAAGTTAAAAAGAGGCCAGGCACAGAAATACAAATACTGTATGACTTCACTTAAATGTGGAATCTAAAAAACTGAACTCATAGAAGCAGAGAATAAAATAGTAGTTATCAGGGTTGTGGGTATGAAGCATGGTATGTTGGTCAAAAGAGAGTTTCAGTTAGATGGAAGTTCTGGACATCTATTGTACAGCATGGTGAAAATATTTAATAATAACATACTATATACTTGAAAATTGCTAGTAGGGATCTAAATCTTCTATTTTCATAAAAAATTAAGTATGGGAGGAGATGGTCATGTTAATTTGATATGATAATATGTCTGAGTATACGCACATACACACAAATTTCTGTACAGACATCCCCAACTTTTTGCGTCAAGTAAAAAATAAACTATGAAAAAATCTAAATAATACACTTAAAGGCTCATAATAGAGCAGCATACATAAAAGTACACTCAGGAATATTCATCTCAAAATATTCCTTGAAAATAAAAGTTCATGGACAAAAAAGTTTGAGCAACACTTAATACATATTTTTGGAGATTCACAAATTAAAAGCCTCTTCAAAAACCTATAGTCAAAAAGGATGTTTAATATAACCCTTACCAAATTTACTCGACCTCAAAACCTTTTTTCACCACATCTGTTAACAACTAACAGAATTATTGTGATGAATGAATACACTCATTACTGGTACACACTAAGATTAACTGCAAAATAAATAAGCTATCATAAAATAAAAAGTTATTCAATGTTTAGTTATATCAGAAGAAAGGAGTCAAATTAGTAAAGAATTTTGGTACCACTATTATTTATTTACTAAAATTATGGACATGAATTTTGAAAATGGTTTTTTAAAGTAGCACCAACACTAGCATAAAACCTCCAAAAAGGGAAAAACACAATTTCTGCATTAACAAAGAAGAAATCTTTTCCAAAACCTATTGTCTTGGGGAGAATACATATGCAATTCCATCTAGTTCTCAAAGAATGCAAATTTTTGCAGGTTTAAGACAATATCCTATGGCTTCTTAAGACTTTTAGGCAAAATAGGGCCTTAAGACAAGTCTGGTCACTGCTAAATGTCAAGTCTTTAATATTTAGAAGGCAGTGCTCAACATAGATTTCTTCTATGCCAAAAAAAAAATTGTTGTCAATAAATTTGAAGGAAAAAAACATTTTCAGGCTAAATAAGATACAAAACATTAAAATCATTGTGTCAAACAATGGTTAAATGCAGACATGTACCAAGTATAGTAATGACATTAATGTCTATTCTATATTCAAAATATAACTAATTTTTAACCATCTTTTTGCTAATTATTAAAAATTGTCATTTCATATAATAGGACATAGGTTTCTTATATAAATAACCATCTAACAAAATTAAGTTTATTTTCTTTTATAAACACCCACAGCACCATCTATAGGCAAAACTTAAGCTAGCATGTTTTTCAATACAGTTCTAACACTGAAAGTCTTATTCTTAAAGCAACTTAATATGCCTGTATAGACAAATATATATATATATGCATCTCCCTAAGAATACCTGAAAAGTCTAATAGTTTTCAATCCCAGGAAGAATATACTAAAAATAGAAAGGAAAAAAAATCCACTAGAAATGGAGGGGCTAATGGAAGTTTATAGTAGAATTCACGTTAAATGAGATTTTCCTCCCTTAACTCTGAAAAATTTAACCACCTTCCTTTATCAACATCCCAATATGAATACCAATCAGCAATTGTTGACTAAAATGAAGAGAACATATTTTCAAATTAACCACTACAACTATATCTGCTCCTTTTAAGTATATTGTATATACGTAATGAAACATACTTCCAGCTGTAATTCTGTATATTTCCTCCTAAGTTCAGTGACTTCTTCTCCAGCTTGCATCTTCTTATATAAATCCAGTTCTGTGTCAAGCAATTCTTTTTGCATCTAAAAAAGAGTGATGAATTAGTATTCTTGGCGACAATAATCAATATTCCATATTTCTGTCAAACTTTTTATAAGGAACTTTTAAACATTCCCATTTAATACATATACATATATATTTAATCCCCAATATTACAGCACTCTAGTTTAAGCCATCAACTCTCTGATTCATAGTATTATAACAGCCTCTTAACTTGCTACTACTTCTACTGATTTTCCCATAATTCATTTTGAGTACAGTAGCCACAGTGAGATTTCTATGTGATGATATGGAATAATTTTCACAGAAAAACTATGAGAAGAAAATGGGGTGGGGGGCAACCACAAAAAATGCAAGGTTCTAACAAGCTATATATGTATGTATGTTTATGTGTGTGTGTGTGTATTTTAGGTAGGAAAAAATACTTACACACAAATTGACATATGTACATATATCTATAAAAAGAATCATTAGAAGGATCAACCAACAATTAATAATACTGGTTACCAATAAGGGATGGTTAGGGATAGAGTATCAGAGATCAAAGGGGAAAGGTCTTCAACCATGCATGTTTTTATATAGTGACTTTTGAACCATGTTAATGTCATAGTTATACAACAAAACAGCATTAAATCAAGAAGCATTGGGGTCATAGGAAGGGGAATCCAAAACTGAATACAAACAGAAAGAGACTTAACTTTATAAATTGATAACATACATACACCAAATGAATTAAAAAAGTACTCCTAGGGCCGATGCTGTGGCGTGGCAGGTTAAGCCTCCACGTGCTGGCTGAATAACTTTGGTTCCAGCTCCCTGCTTGCTAATGAGCCTGGGAAAACAGCAGAAGATGGCCCAAGTGCTTGGGTCCCTGCACCCACATGGGAGACCAGGAAGAAGCTCATGGCTCCTGACTTTGGCCTGGCGTAGCTTGTTGCAGCCATTTGGGGAGTGAACCAGTGGATGGAAGACTTCTTTCTCTCTGCCTCTGCCTCTCAAATAAGTAAATAAGTCTTAAAAAAAAAAGTAATCCTATAACAGAGTTCTGACTTTATATCCATAGTGGAATACAGATGTTTTGTTTGTAAAGAATGCAAAAAAATTTTGGTTTAGTTATTCTTTGTTCAGTCAGTTGTTGGAAATAGTATTGTTGCATCAATTTTAGAACTATCTTGAATGTATTACGAGACTATCTATGAATAATATTAAATTAATAGGTCCAACCTGTGCTTATGGAACCAGAAGATAAAACCCAAAATGAGAAAGAGGAACCATACGGTTTTCGATTAGAATTAATAATATTAATGATTTTATATATATACACTGGGTATAAATATTGTATAATCCTGCATTTTTTCTTTAATCACTTATTACAATCTGAAATCAACTTATTCACTTATCTTTACCTAATTAAGGCATCTATCTGAATTTTCCTTCCCAATCTATCTCTATTGCTGCCAGAATGTTACTTCTCTTTCATTAACCTTTAAATCACCAAGTACTTAAGTTCAAAGGCAGGTGCTGTGGCATAACAGGTAAAGCCGCCAACTGCAGCACCATCATCCCATATGGGCATTGGTATGAGACCCAGCTACTTCACTTCCAAACCAGCTCTTTGCTATTGCCTGAGAAAGCAGTAGAAATGGCCCAAGTCCTTGAGCACCTGCACCCATGTGGGAGACCCAGAAGAAGCTCCTGGCTTCAGATTGGCCCTGCTCTGGCTATTGTGGCCATTTGGGCAGTGAACCAGCAGGTGGAAGACCTCTCTCCCTCTCTGCCTCTGCTTCTCTGTAACTCTGCCTTTCAAATTGTTGCTCCCCCTCTTCGTGGAGGAGCAACACTGAACCCTGCGCTGTTCTTTCGTCTGCTCGGCCCTCCCCGGGTTTGCTGCTGGTTCTTCCCGGGTTGGCTACCGTCCCTTCCACCTCCGTGGAAGGGCGGTTCCCCCGCCACATTCCCCACTTCCGCGGGGGAGTGGCACACCGCCGGCCGGCTCTTTCGGGGGCTGCACAGGTGTTCCCTTAGATGTTCCCCTTAGATGTTCCTGGTGCATGCCGTCTCTCTCCTCCTTTATAGTCCTCCTCCGCCAATCCTAACTAGGCTGCCCACACGCCGAGTACGCTGCTCTCCTCCAATCAGGAGCAAGTCCTACAGTTTATTGGCTGAACTGGAGGCAGCTGTGTAGAAACTGTTTTCTCCTCTCCCAGCGCCATATTGTGGGAGAGCAGATGCATAGAATAAGTCTTAATTCCAGTAACAGTCTAGTCCGGGTTGCTCCCCACAGATCCCCCTTTCTTTTTATTTTTTGGCGTTGATACACGCCTGTCTTCGGTGTCCCGTGGCACACACTCTGCTCTACTTGCTAGAGTTGCCACAGGTTCTTACAAGTCCTATCAATCAGGCAAACCGAATCCGGGTCCTCTCTTCGCCATGTTGTGAGGAGGTTTTTAGGCGCTGATGCGTGCCTGTCTTCGGTGACCTGCGGCTCATACTCTGGTCGAGCCACCTGCTGGTGCTTACCGCCTTAATCAGGCAGACCGAATCCAAGCTTTCTCATTGCCATATTGTGGGGGAGACTTATTAGTGTTGATTCGTGCCTATCTTCGGTGACCTGCAGCTCATACTCTGGTCGAGCCGCCTGCTGGTGCTTACCGCCTTACTAATCAGGCAGACCGAAATCCAAGCTCTCTCATTGCTGTGTTGTGGGGAGGCCTTATTGGTGTTGATAGCGTGCCTGTCTTCGGTGACCTGCGGCGCATAAGCTGCTAGCCGCCCGCAGGTGCTCATCGCCTCACTAATCAGGCAGACCGAATCCAAGCCTTCTCATTGCAGTATTGTGGGGAGGCCTTTCTATTTCTCTATTTCTCTATCTCCGGGCATTCCTATTTCTCCCATTTTGCTTCTATCTTCCAGCATTCCTATTTCTCTCATTTTACTTCTAAACTTCTGTTTCTCTTATCCCCGCGGCTTCCCGGCGCCCGCCCCGAGGCCGCTTCTCGGCGGCTTTCCGGCTCTGAGCCGCTTCAGCCCGCGCCTCTCTCATCTGCGCGGCTTCGCGGCTCTGCGCAGCTCGGCTTCGCGCGCACACTCCACGGTCTCTCACTAGCCTCGCGTTCCCTATCTACTTGAGCCCCGCACGCTCTGTCTGCGCACGGCAGCCTCCGCGAGTCACACAGCGTAGCTTGCGTCTCCGCCACTAGTATTCAATCCAAGTTCCCCGGGCTAACCTGGCGAATTCAACCCAGCTCACGTCTCCGCCCCACGATTTGGCTTCCCGTCCTTTGCTCCCCGGGCTAATCAGACGGATCCCAATCTGGCTTACGTTTCCGCTTCTGGTTTCAACTTTTCGCCCCCTAATCCCGGGCTAACTTGAGAATCCCAAAGTGGCTTTCATCTCCGCCTCGGCCTGCCCCCCGCGGCTTCAATTTCCCTAACATTTTTCTCCACCCGGTATGTTTCCCCAAGCTTTCTTCCAACAATACTCCTCCCTCATTTCTCCTGGCCTCTCCCCACAGTCCGTATCCGAGTCTGTTTGTTCTAGCTTTCACTTTCGACCTTAGAGATTTCTCCCAGCTTCCCCCCGTAGTCCGTATCTGAGTCTATGCCTATGCTTTCAATAGCTTCTTCCGGCACCTTTTTCGGCCGGCTTTTCCCTAGGCTGTTTGCTAGTCTCTCTCTCCGATATTTTCCCAGTTCTTCCCGTTTCTTCCCTCCTAAGTTTCCTATCCGTCCTAGGTTTCCTATCCGAGTCACGACACCATTATGTCGCTCCCCCTCTTCGTGGAGGAGCGACACTAAACCCTGCCTAGGCTTCATATCCGAGTCACGGCACCATTATGTCGCTCCCCCTCTTCGTGGAGGAGCGACACTAAACCCTGCCTAGGCTTCATATCCGAGTCACGGCACCATTATGTCGCTCCCCCTCTTCGTGGAGGAGCAACACTGAACCCTGCGCTGTTCTTTCGTCTGCTCGGCCCTCCCCGGGTTTGCTGCTGGTTCTTCCCGGGTTGGCTACCGTCCCTTCCACCTCCGTGGAAGGGCGGTTCCCCCTGCCACATTCCCCACTTCCGCAGGGGAGCGGCACACCGCTGGCCGACTCTCTCGGGGGCTGCACAGGTGTTCCCTTAGATGTTCCCCTTAGATGTTCCCCTTAGATGTTCCTGGTGCATGCCGTCTCTCTCCTCCTTTATAGTCCTCCTCCGCCAATCCTAACTAGGCTGCCCACACGCCGAGTACGCTGCTCTCCTCCAATCAGGAGCAAGTCCTACAGTTTATTGGCTGAACTGGAGGCAGCTGTGTAGAAACTGTTTTCTCCTCTCCCAGCGCCATATTGTGGGAGAGCAGATGCATAGAATAAGTCTTAATTCCAGTAACAGTCTAGTCCGGGTTGCTCCCCACACAAATAAATAAACAAAATAAATCTTTATAAGACTAGTAGAGTTTACTTGTTTGTACTTATTTATCAATGACAGAGGAAAACAGTAAATATAAGGGTCAGATTTTTAACAAAGGTTATTACCTGAAAAAAAAACTGAATCCTAAAAATTTAATGTTTAATATTATCTACCAAGTAGAAATATGGACATAAATTAAAATACCTGAGTCTTGGTTTTTATACTTTTTGGAAGACAGCGTCCAGGAGAAGCAGCTTTGACCTCATCTTTCAACTTGGTGATATTTTTTGTCAAAACCTCCAAAGTTTTCATGATTTCTGCTTTATCTTCAGATTTCATTGTTTTGTTTTTCTCCAGTTTGGAAATTAACATCTGTGGAATTTTTAAAAACAGAAAAAATCTGAACATACTCCTACTATTAAAGTGAACACAGTAAGTATATATAAAAGTAAATAATACCATTCTTAGTTTATATATTCACAACAATGCTAACAACTATTAAATATTTAAAGGTAGTACGGGGGCTGGTGCTGTGGAGCAGCGGGTTAACACCCTGGCCTGAAGCGCTGGCATCCCATATGGGTGCCGGTTCGAGTCCTAGCTGCCCCTCTTCCAATCCAGCTCTCTGCTATGGCCAGGGAAAACAGTAGAAGATGGCCCAAGTCCTCAGGCCCTTGCACCCGCATGGGAGACCTGGAAGAAGCTCCTGGCTCCTGGCTTTGGATCAGCGCAGCTCCAACTGTTGCAGCCAATTGGGGGTGAACCAGAGGACGGAAGACCTTGCTCTCTCTCTGCCTCTCCTCTCTCTGTATAACTCTGACTTTCAAATAAATAAATAAATCTTTAAAATAAAAAATAAAAAAAAGGTAGTAGGACAGCAGACTTGGTGATACTAACTATACTCAATTCAAGTGTTACTCTTGTTTTTTATGAAGAATTATATTGCTATTTGGAACTCTCAAAATTAGCTCAAATCACACAACCAGCAGAAATTCAATTCAATTCCTGAAAAGCTGTCAATATGAAATGTCAAAAATTTTCCTTTTTAAAGTAGTACAAGATGGCCCAAGTCCTTGGGCCCCTACACCCACATGGGAAATCCAGAAGAAGCCCCTGGCTCCTGGCTTCAGATTGGCACAGCTCCGGCCGTTGCGGCCATCTGGCGAGTGAACCAGCAGATAGAAGACCTCTCTGTTTCTCCTCTCTCTGTAACTGTTTTTCAAATAAATAAAATAAATCTTCAAAAAAAATTTTTTTCTTTTTTAATCTACTTGTTAATATTACTACCTCTAACTATTCCCATGCCAAATTTAGCATGCAACCCAGAATATGCAGGAGGAAAATTTTATAGACCGTATCACATAATCAAGTGTTAGAAAAACTGAATGCTTAATTACTTTATCATAGGTAACAATAACTGATATCCCCAACATGGATAGCAAGATAAGAAATATAAAATGGGCCAAAGAAACCATGTAATAAATAGTACAGGTTCTCTGAGTCAAGAAGACTTTGATTTTAGGTGTAAAGCTTTATTGATTTCTTATCAAGTGTATCCAAATTTGAATTTAAAAAGACATACATTTCAAATGGTTTCTATATTTTCAATCTTCTGAAATGTTACAGAGCTAACCTTCATTGCCAGACAAAAACTGACAATGACAACTTATCAATTAAATATCAAAAATTAGAGCAACAGTGTCCAAAAAAAATGTCAGTCACATAGATTATCCGTAAGTTTCCAGGAGCCACATTAAAAATAAACAAAATTAATTTCATCATATATTTTATTTGACCAATATATCGAAGATTTTACAAATACCATGATTTTACTTTTTCTCTTCATCTTTAAAATCCAGTGTGTATGTTACACTTACATCTCGATTTGAACGAGACATATTCCATACACTTAATTAGTTAGATGTGGCTACTGACTACTCTACTAAATAACACAGAACTAGAGGATATCAAGCAAGTAAAAAAAAAAGGTCATTGAGAAAAGGGTTCCATTTCATTATCTGCTGATTAAATTGCTATGCAGCAACAGCTGAATGACCACTATCTTATTTCCACTTCATGTTGATAACCACAGATCCATTTAAACTACATTCACCATTTAATACATGCTTTTCAACTTCAATACAAGGTTACCTCAAAAGTTCATGGACAATGAAACTAAAAGATAAATTTTTTTCTGTGAACTTAAGATCCCTCATTCGCATGAATTTCAAAACTTTTTTCCACCAAAATCAATTTACCTTTTTACTCCATTTTCCATGAACTTTTTGTAATAGCCTTGTACTTCAAACTAGCAGAAATTCAGTTCAATCCCTAAAAATTTGTCAATTTAAAATATCAATAATTTTACTTTCTAAACTATTTGTTGATATTGTTGCCTAAGTATTCTTACTCTAAATGTAGTCTGCAACCCAAACTGTATTTACATTGATAATAAAACACATTAGACTGATAATAAAATATCATTGATAAATATTTCATTTTATCAATTATAGTAAACCTGTTATCTCAGGACTATGCATATTTTCAGATTAAATTTACCACAAATTATGACATTTGTAAATATATTCTTCCAAATTTAATATTTTACCTTCTGTGTTTCAATGTGCTTTTCTAAAATTTCTTGTTTCCTTTTCCTTACATCTTGCTGAAGTTTCAGTGCCTCCTGGAGTCAGGGACAAAAAATACCATTGGCATATTACTAAGGATAAAAAAATTATTCAAGAGGAGCAGTATGATTCCAATTGTAGAAACATGACAACAAAAATTATTTGCAAACTTTTGCAATTTAGAGTTTAAATATGTATGTGTGTTTAAAAGAGCAATCAAGGGAAACTTTCAAAGAAAAAATTAAGTTATTTCTACACTATGAAAAATAAAGCTTCAGTGGCAACTAATGTACACATTTTTAGTCTTTTAGTCTTATTTATGATAAGTACTGAAGCAGCATTTGCACAAAGAAAAACTTCCTTATTTGCAAATTCTGTGCACTATACTCAGTGTTCTTACCTGTTTTTTTTTCTGTGCTTCATTATTATCAACTGCAGAAGTAGAAACAAGTAAGGATTTTTGTGCAGCCTTCAAAGCAGCCGGGTTATACACTGTTTTTGTTAGGCCAGTTGATGTAGATAACACCTATCAATACAAATTCAATTTCTTAGGAAAAAAAAATCAATGATTTATGATTTCCTAAGTCCCATTTTCTATAAGCATGTCTCTAAACTCTAGCACATTGTACTAAATGCACTATATACATATAACTAAATTGCAACTGATGATTTGAAAGGCATAGAAAAGAGAAATAAGCTCTAATGTGAAAAAAGTTTAAATTACCAAATACCTACAGGAAAAAAGCAAAGACAAACATACAAAATGCCAAATCAAGAAAAAACATTACCATTGCTGTATCACTCAGAAAATATTAGTTGCTGAATACCTTACTGCTATTCAAAGTGACTAAAGCAAAAACTATACACAAAAACATGGCACAGGAAGAAATTGGGTGCTGTTGTCATCAAACAATCTATTCTATTTTGCAATCTGCAGTTCTAAAATAAATCCTGTTCTATTAATTCTCTAATTCTTTTCTAGCAATGTGCCTTTGCCTCAAGTGATCTTATCTCCTTAAACCTAGCTTGGGTTTAACATAACACAATCAAGACATCTATAAATCCCTATACATTTCACTCTTCGACCCTAAATCCATGTATAAAATTTTATTCCTTCAGCTATTAGATAAAATCCTAATAGCTATTTTTAGCTAGCATTAGCAACTTGGTAAAAAGGAGTTAGGTATATTAATTTATGTGTCTTTCTGTTCACTATTCAAGGACCTTGCAGTAAAGACCATACCTTTTTCCTTTTTGTGCTTCTTCCAGTACCTAAGTCTTGCTACATAAATAAATATGAGCAGAGATAAGATCAAGCACCTTTTTGTGGCTGTCTGCTCATCTATAAAATCAGGAAGCTCAAGGTGATGGTGTCTGAAATTCTTATAAAACCCCAAATTTCATACCACAGGATAGGATTTTTTTTTTTTTTTTCGGCACAAAAGCCCAGCGCTCTATTTACAGCTATGGCTGGCACCTGCCCACCTGGCCAGCTGCCTGCAGGGAGGGGTGGGAGAGGGGGTCAGCCACATCGCAGGCGGGGGTGGGAATAAGGCAGGAAAAGACAGAAGGGAAAGGGGTGGGGGCAGAGAAACCAGAGGTGGAGAAATGAAGACTGGAGACAGCAGCAGAAAGGACCCTCCCTCCCCTAAGGATCCAAAGCTCAGCAGGAGGAGGTGGGGATAGGGGCGGGGCTTGCAGAGAGAGAGAGAGAGAGAGAGAGAGAGAGAGAGAGGGAAAGGAGACGCCTAGGGGTTGGGGAGGGGCAGTCCTGGTGGCCAAAACGGAACCAACCCCAATCCCGAATCCCCCCCACCCCCACCTGCCCAGCTCTGCCGCTTCCCTCTAGGCTGCCAGCACATCTGGTCTCCACAAATGCCACGCCCCCACACAAGCCCCCGCCCCCCCTCCACCCCACCCCTGGACCCAGGCCATCCCCACATGGTGGGGAAGTTTTCTTTAGGTTAGCATATTTGCAAGCCTGCCCCAGCTCCGCCCTCGCAGGGACCACTAGAAGGGCAGGTTGGCCATGCCGCCCGGCGCGCCGGGAGGTAGCCCATCTGGCTGTCCAGAGACACGCTGCGCTGCCGCAGTGGGTGGGACACCATGAGGTTCTGCTGGGGCGGGGGGCCCATGAGGGAGCCCTGCGGGGACAGCATGTGGGGAGGCTGGCTGTAGACCCCCAAGCCCCGTTGCTTCATCAGCATGAAATTCTGCTGGGCCATGAGGCCTTGTGGGGGGGACATGACTCCCTGGTGCAGGCCGTGGGGCACCATGCCCTGCTGAAGGATAGGAATTTTTGCTGTTGTCTCTGGTCATTGCTATATCTTAAGTTCATAAACAGTGCCAGGGCACATGAAAAAAATTTCAATAAACATTTTTTCACTAAAGTGAAATGACAGTAAGTTAAAAAGACAATCTTTCTTACACAAGGATCAATTTTTTAAAAAATGAAAGTTTAAAATAAAGCCCGGGGGGGGGGGAGGGGCGGTGCCGTGGCGAAGCAGCCCTGGCGAAGCAGGTGGAGCAGCCAGCCGCCTGTAGTGCTGGCATCCCATGTGGATGCTGGTTCGAGTCCTGGCTGTTCCACTTCTGATCCAGCTCTCCACTGTGGCTTGGGAAAGTACTGAAGAATGGCCCAAGTCCTTGGGTCCATGCACTCGCATGGGAGACCCAGAGGAGGTTCCTGGCTCTGGCCATTGCAGACAACTGGGGAGTGAGTCAGCGGATGGAAGACCTCTCTTTCTATCTCTAACTCTGCCTTTCAACTGAATAGACAAATCTTTTTTTAAAAAATAAAAGATTTTATAGGCTCCCTTTATTTCCTTCAAAAGAAAAGCAATTCTAAAATCCATGGAATAGCAACTGGTTTGTAGAAAACAGCCAATGTATCCTTTCAGTGAGATCTACGAATGCTATAAAATATAAAAATTAAACATGAAACTGATTGTGTGAACACTGTAATTTTTCAGAGGCATAAACATTGTTTCTAAAGTCTTAAAGGAGTTTATAACCTAAAAAAGGATGAAATAACCACTCAAATGCAGAGTAATAATGAGAAAAATTGCACTTTTTGTAAACATCTGGGTACATCATAGTAATAATCTAGAAGCCAACTCATACTCTTTCACCATGAAATTAATTAAGAAATTTATTTATTTGAAAAGCATAGAAGGAGACAGAGGGATAAACAGTTCCTGTTTGCTAGTTCATTCACCAAATATCTGCTACACCTGAGACTAAGCCAGATCAAGACCAGGAGCCAGGATCTCAATCCAGGTCTCCGACAAGGGTGACAGGGACCTACTTTCTTGAACCATCACCTGTTCCTTCCCAGGCTCTACTTTAACAAGAAACTGGAATGGGAAGCACAACTGGGTTTCATATCTAAGATACCCCTAAATAGGATGCGGGTGTCCCAACTGGTGTCTTAACCATGCGTTAATTTTTATTTCATTTAGAGACTGACTTTCTTAGAATAGTGATGAGTTGCCAAAGCACTAATTTCATGGTGAGCTAATTTCATGTTAGGCTAAGCCTCTGCCTGTGGTGCCAGCATCCCATAGGAATACTGGTTCAAGTCCTAGCTGCTCCTCTTCTAATCCTTTCTGCTTATGGACTGGGAAAGCAGAAGATGGCCCAAGTCCTTGTGTCACTACACCTGCATAGGAGACCCAGAGGAAGCTCCTGGCTCCTAGCTTCAGATCAGCACAACTCTGGCCATTGCGGCCATCTAGGGAGTGAACCAGCAGATGGAGGATCTCTTTCTCTCTGCCTCTCCTTCTCTCTGTGTAACTCTGACTTTCAAATAAATAAATATTTAAAACAAAAAAAAATTTAAAAATAAAAGTTCTTAAATAATACAAGATATGCACCTAATTTGATAATTTCCTTTCAATGATAGGGCCATTACCTAGCTAGGTATCACTAAAAATACAAAATGGTTGCATCATTAAAATATAGCATGAACAGATGTAATTTGTAGTACTACTTCAATGACCATTTTCTGTAACTCTAGAGAAAAATTTCTTTCATGCTATTTTACCATGTGAAATGTCAAACATTTTGTATATACTTTATAAGGGCAGAAACACAGAAAACAGACTCTGTTTCATAAAGCTGTGATCAAAAAAGATTTCTATTGTCAGATAAGTTGGAAACAATGAATATCCTAACCCCTCTCTCCAGGTTCAATGGTTATTATCAAAATAAAAGCACTAAGAACATTAGAAGTAAAAAATCCATGTAATTGGTTTAATTTAGTATTTCTCCAACTCCAATGAATAGGAAATATTCTTTTTCAAAGTATCTTTAACATCTGAAATTAAACTAAAGAGAGCTGGCTCAAAGTGAATGAAAGTATTGGCAAGAATGAGAAGATACTTTTATTCCTAGAAGCATTCCTATTCCATTTTTTTGTTGTTGTTGTTGTTTTGTTTTGTTTTTGTTTTTGTTTTTTTTGGTTTTTTTGTTTTTTGTTTTTGACAGGCAGAGTGGACAGTGAGAGAGAGAGACAGAGAGAAAGGTCTCCTATTCCATTGTTTTATCCAGGAACTTTCTTCTCTAAAAACAGAACTTCAGCTTAACATATTTAATTGAGCCTAAATCACAATGTCTATAAAACACAATATAATTTTATATAGCCATACTATAATAAAAGGCCACCAATTATAACCATAAACACCAGCAACTGTATGTAGTCTAATTTCAGATTGTTAAAATATAAAAATAAAATTATTAAAACAATGAATATAAATATTGCTCACTATGTAAATCTATTTGGTTATAGCTTTGGATAGTAAGAGTTTGAATAGCAAGAAAAATCTTTTTTGAAAAGATGAAAACCTATTAATAATACAACCAGTGGAGGGAAGTGACAAATCCAATAGAAAAGATGATGCTACAATTCCTTGGAACATATTCAAGGCATGGCAAGTTGCCTTTCCAAGCAACCATATCTCTGTATTTCCAAATGGGATTCTGCATGTTTCAGCAAAACAAACACTTTCACATAAACCTTATTTCCTATAAGAAAAATAACCCAGGTAACATCCTGAGACAGGTTGATACATTAGTAAATGAAAACTTAGAGTAGTAACAGTTATGAAAGGGAAAAAAAACATAAGAATCCTTTATCTGTGTATATAAGGTGGTAAAGTTTTTAGAAAAACTGTACTTTATGTAATGAAACAGCAAGTAACACTTGTTCTCTACTTATACTATGAAAGCTGCTAAATCAATAGCTGAAGTCGCTACACGATATATAGTGTTCTTTCAATTATAGCACACAATTTCCTTTTCAAAAGTTCTGTGGTATAGCTGTTAACATTTCATCATGCAAAAAGATCAAAATTTTTAGACTGCAAAAACAGTAGGTGGGATATTCAAAAAGTTCAAAGAAAATGTATACTACAGAAAAATGCATGGATTTCAAAATTTTTTGCACCAAAAAAGTTTTAATTCCATTTTTCATGAACATTTTGAAGTTACCCCATTAGTAAAGTTAAACTATCAATTCCAAATTCATATCCATTTATTCCAAAGGTACTCAAAGCATCTTTAAAAATAAATAATAAAAGCAGCAAACATACTATTTTGTAAAAGTTATAATTAGAATAAACTTCAATTTTAGAATCCAAATCTTAACATAAACAGATCTTAAACATAATCGTATATTTAGATGTCTCCAGAACTGCTCAATAGTATACAAAGTATAGCGGATCTTTCAGTGCTTTAATTCCTGAACTACTATCAGAATATAAATCTAATCAAAATAAATATCTGATATGGCTACAATCAGTAGCACAGACTAAATCACACAGAATCAGAGGGGGCCATCATATGGAAAAATTTGGTGGTTTCATGGGAGATGATAAGAGATTTTCAACTGTTATAGAATGGTTAGAGCTGTTAGGCAGACAAAAGGGGAGAGGGGGCAAAAAAGGTGGGGTGGGGAAGGAAAGGGCACGAGGGACATTAAGCAGAAAAGTACTTGCTAAGGTAAAAAGGAAAGACTAGAGCAAAAGCAACAGAACCAGAATAATTGAGGAATTGATGAGTTGTGAATCAAGCAAAGTAATTTAGCTGAGAAATTAAAAGCTTCTACAATGAACTATATTTAAAGTAAACTTTAGAATAGGATGGCAATAGTATAATTAGAGGAGGGGAATTTCAGGATGCCAGCTAAGACACTGCATCCAAAGGCCAGTGACCTGAAGGTGATACAGAAAAAGAAGTGGACTACAAACAAATAAATAATGATTATACAGCTTAGAAAGTAGTCATATCACTTTCTGAGCTGGTAGTTAGAAGTTAATTTTTATGGGACATAATGAATTCATTTTAGGCATGTTATGCCTGAAGTCAATGCCGAGATGCCCAAAGGAGAGTTTGATGGACAGAATAAGATTCAGATTTGAATTCCTAGAATTGCCAGGTTAACACAGTAAGTAAGGAAAATAATATACTAAAGAACAAATGAAGACAGCAGGTCAGCTATCTCACTGGATCTTTTGTTCATCTGTGAAGTCAATTTCTATTGTAATCTTCAGAATGGTTAGGAGCTGTGGACTAGAAACAGGAGACCCAGATTCTAGTTCTAGCTTAGTAATGCACAATGTATAGTGTAACTCATAAGACTACTTGGGTCCTGCTTTCCTTTAAGTAAATATGTAGAATTGAGGGAGATTTTCTAATTCTAACATTCTGTAATTCCACATACCCCAATTAACACTAAAGATCATAGTATACACCAACACCCAAACAAACAAAAAAAGCACATCTACACAGAAAGAACATAAGACAGATCCATAAACGGTCTTAAAATAATCAGTATTTATGCCTTCAATCACTTAAAAAATGATTAAATATATTATCAGACTGTATCAACAGCAGTGTGAGATTATAAACATTTATGTTATCCTTTCCAGTTTACAAAATATTTTTAAATTATTTACTCCTTATAAAACCCAGTGAGCAAGACAATTACCATCACCATTTTATAGATGAGTAAAAAGATTCAGAAAAGTAAAGAGCACTGCCCAACATCATGCAGTTAGTAAGTGAAAAGCCAGGGATCAAACTCAGGTAAAACTCCTCTAATTCATGGTCCTTTCTAACAGACTGTCAGAATTTTCAAATTAAAATGTACAATATCTCTAAAGAAAAGTAAATTAAAAAAAAAAAAAACAGAGAATGGAGCACATGAAAATACAGTGAGGCAAGTATTAAAATGCTGATGCAAAAATGTAAAAAAAGGTAAGCAAATATTTTTCTTTTTCAGCAAATGGAAAGCAAAAAGGTAGGAATAAGAGATACAGATACTATTAAGAAGCAAGTTTGGAACTATGAAAAAAAATTAAAAATTAAGATGCCACCTGAAAACATTTATGAAGCCAAGACAAACACATCATGCTATTCTTCTTACCTTTTCAGTTGCTGAAACAGATGACTTTGATACAAAACCCAACCTGTCCTTCACAGATAACTTAGTTACATTCTAAAAAAATTAAAATGGACATATTCAGTGTTTTCCCAAAAATATCTCTGTTGGGATTTTGAACATTCTGATTTTATTAATATATTCTGAGTCTAGGAATACTAATACTAATCACAGAAATGTGGGCCTTTTTTAAAAGAGACAGAAAATGTGTGTGGAAAAACAAAAATAAACAGTATGCAATATTACTCCAGCATGAAAAAGTATGATATAAAATAAGAGGTCTGAATCTGGTGTTTGTTGAAGTCCCTTCCACTGATAGAGAATCCTAAATTCTTAGGGTCCTATGTTAACAAGCAAAAAAATCTTCATTTTGAATAATAGATTTGAGTAATTAAAATAAATCCCTGCTTCTACAGCCTAAAAATAAAATGTCATTCTTTGCTAAAGTATGTTTGCTTTATACTCAAATACACTGTATTTGGTGATGTATAGGATATAAGGGTTTAGGATCTTTTTTTAGGATAACTTATCAATTTACATTCTGGATATTCTTATAAGATCTCAGCATCTTACTTCTTGGAAGACCATTTTAAAAAGGTGGCATCTATTAACTAAGTAAGATACTACATACTAATTATTTTACACAGCAAATGATGAACCATCTGGAGACAAAGGAAAGCTTTATTTCAGAGACTGAAAGTGTAGAAACAAGAACCTGTGTTCTTCCTATGTGGAAAGAAGTAGGGAGGAAGTGACATTTTGAGAAAAGAATCCCAGAATCAGAAATAAGTGATGCAAAGTTCTAACAAAGTTGCATTAAGTACTTAGAACAGCGTAATATCAAGCATGAGTAACCTGATGTTTTATGCCTTCCCATCCCAAAAGTTTTCATGTCAGTCTACTGCACAAGTATATCTGCAACAAAATTCTAATTAAGTAAAAAGATGATGGGAAAACAAGATTCAGTGTATTAAACTTCATTCTTCACCTAGTTTTGCTAAAATATATTTTTCCCACAAGGTAAAAAGAAATCTAACAAATATTAATTACAGCAAAGAATTTAAGACTCAAATACTTTAAGAAAAGTAGAAACTGAAAATGTTATGGCAATGGTAAAAAGAAAAAAATAATTGATAAGTGAGGTTCAAATATGTAAAGACCATCATATTTCTATCAAATTAATACAATTAACTATAATCAATCACCACAGAAAATTGGTTTACTGAGAATGTATAATATGTGACAAGAACAATAGTAAAACCTTCCATATACCTGAGGAAGTTCTGAACTGGCACTCTGGGCTTCTGCTGGTTCAACGGTACTTGAAGGTACTGGACCCAATCGCTCTTTGACTGACTGCTTCACAACAGGCAGAATGGGTTGCTGGACTAAAGGCTGCATGACCTCAGAACAACCAAAGAATTTCAAAACAAGCCAATTAGTTCAGGAACTAAACTAAACTTCTGGTATTTTGTAATAAATTATTCAAGTACAGAAACTTTTTAAAATGAAACTTATAGCTGAAACTGCCTTTCAATTTCGTTCACACAAGGATACATATTTTCTTTGAATAAAATCATTCATTTATAAAGAAAAAAAATTAAATCTACCCTTCATTATTTCAAACAATCAAAAAACAAAATTATCACAATAAACCTCTAGAAGGAATCAATCAATTGAACATTATATGGTAGTTCCTCTCTTATTCTTGGGAGATATATTCTAAAACCACTGGTGAATGTTTCAAACTTCATATAGTACTGGACTATGAACATATTATGCTTCACTCTTGCTATAAATCTTAGCAACTCTGGAATACAATTTTTTTCTATCCTTATTAAGAACTTCCACCTTGGGGCTGGCGTAGCAGGTAAAGCCACCACCTACAGTGCCAGCATCCTGTATGGGTGCCAGTTTGAGTCCTGGCTGCTCTATTTCCAATCTAGTCCCCTGCTATGGCCTGGGAAAGTGACAGAAGATGGCCCAAGTGCTTGGGCCCCTGCACCCACGTGGGAGACCAAGAAGAAGCTCCAGACTCCTGGCTTCAGATTGGCACAGCTCTGGTCATTGCAGCCATTTGAGGAGTGAACCAGTGGATGGACGACCTTTCCCTCTCTCTCTCTCTCTGCCTCTGCCTTTCTGTGACTCTGCCTTTCAAATAAATCAATATTTAAAACAAAACAAAACAAAAACTTCCACATTTTCAATTAAAGGAAGCACCTGGGCTTCTTTTTGGTATATCCGAATTGCCAGTATCACTGCTCTTGCATGTTGAGGCCATATTAAGTAAAATAAGGGCTACTTGAACACAAGCATTATAATGAATCTGATAACCAAGATGGCTACTAAATCATTAATCAGCAGGTAGACTACATCATGTGGATAAGCTGTACAAAGGGATGATATACATCCTGAATGGGACACATCAGACCTTCTAAGAGTTCACTGTGATACTCAGAACAGCACACAATTTAAACCTTATGAACTGTTTATCTCTGGAATTTTTCATTTAGTATTTTTGGACCACCACTGACTGTAACTGAAACTGCAGAAATTGAAACTCTGGATAAAGGGGGATTATTGTATACTGACTGATTCAAGGAAGGAACAAAGAGAAGTGAAAGAGGAAAAAAGAATTTCCAGGATGAACCCACATTCTGAATTTCTGGAATGAATCTAAGTATAGCTACCACTTGCTGAATGTCTATGACTTGACAAGAACTGTTCCATATGTTAGCTTTACACACATCATCATGATTCTCTAAATAAAGAATTAACTTCACAATTAAATAAAAGGTTTAACTAGAGTAGTTAAATAACTTCCTCAAGTCTATAACATTAACAGTAGTAGAGACAGGGTCTAAACTCAAGTATACTTGATTTCAATGCCTCTGCTCTTAAACACTTTGCCAAGAGCTGTCTAAGTATGTAATTTCACATAAATTTCTCTCTTACCTTTGGGGAAGTAGTTTGTAACTGTTGAGTGCTTCCTTCTCTGTGCCAATAAACCTTAATAAAGCGATTATTTAACACTGCTTCTGTACTTGATATTGCTTTCTTTGCTTCTTCATACGTTGCAAATTGGATAAGGGCACCTTCAGGATCCCCATTATAAGCAACCTAAGATTTAAATTATTAAGAAGAGTGAGTTTTCCAATGGAATCTGTTGCTTCCTTAAGTAAAACTGCTCAAGAAGTTAAATACTAGCACTTCCAGGAGGAGACAATCTTCATATTTCCTTCTATTGTGATAACTGTCACAGTTTACTTTAACTCCAGAAAGAAAAATAGTAACAGGATTGTTCACAGTACAAAAAAAGAGCCTTCTCTGTGTTAACAGTAGAGAATGCTGATAGCACATGTTACATACAAGAAGTTGAAACGTTCTCTTTTCACCCCTAATTTAATGCTAATTATGAAAAATGATACCTATCTGTCAATGAGTGACATGGCCAAGAATTATGTAGTCTGGAGAAGGCAGTAAGCTATTTTGGAAAGCGTTATCTTTAAATAAAAATTACAGAAAAATCCATTTGTACAATATCCTAGATTTGTAATTCTCACAATATTTGCAGAAGCACAAGAAAATTTAAGAACATACATAACAAAAGGATCAATCTTATTTGCCATATGAGGAAAGGAATTCAAGGAATATGATCCTACAGACACATACAACCAATAAATTATAAATCATGAGTTTTCCTATCAAATTTATTTTCAATAAAAAGAATGTTTTCAAAGTGTGGCACACCACTGGTGGTGTGCAGCGATACATAATAAAGACTGAGAGTACAGTCTGATTCAACTGCCTGGCTCAAACTTTGTCTGCTATTACCACATAAGCATGAATCAGTTATTTAACTTTTCTTGCCTCAGTTTCTTCTTCTGTAAATGAGAATAACAACAGTACTCATTTTGTCGTGTTATTTTGAGAATTAAATAATTCATGTAGAACAGAGTAAATAGCAAATATTCAGTAACTATCATAAGGAGGATTTTAGGTAGCATTTCAGTAATTATACAATTATTAGAATGTAAAAACATCAAGTTGACCATCACGTTTAATTAATAAACAGGTAAAGGTGTTTTTTCAGTTGATTTTGTAAAACATATACTTCATAAATAATAATACAGGTAAATTTTTTTTTTTTTTTGACAGGCAGAGTGGACAGTGAGAGAGAGAGACAGAGAGAAAGGTCTTCCTTTGCCGTTGGTTCACCCTCCAATGGCCACCGCGGCCGGCGCACCGCGCTGATCCGATGGCAGGAGCCAGGTGCTTATCCTGGTCTCCCATGGGGTGCAGGGCCCAAGCACTTGGGCCATCCTCCACTGCACTCCCTGGCCACAGCAGAGAGCTGGCCTGGAAGAGGGGCAGCCGGGACAGAATCCGGCGCCCCAACTGGGACTAGAACCCGGTGTGCCGGCGCCACAAGGCGGAGGATTAGCCTAGTGAGCCATGGCGCCGGCGGTAAATGTGTTTTTTGTAATTGATTTTGAAAAACATATACTTTATAAATAATAATGCAGTTAGTATACAGATACAGCAAAAGGACCAATAAAGAGACGGTATCGACCTAATAATTAATGCAAACAGAAACAATAGTGAGATATTATATTTTGTACCTCAGCTTTGCAAGATTTTTTAAACATCACCACCAGTATAATTGTGTGAGGAAAAGAATATTCTGAAAACTTTATTATGTCTAGATATAAATGTAGATCAAACTGAACACCCTCAAAAACATAGTCAGAGATTATTTAAGATTAAGGAATCAAAAGGTAAAATGTGTATTATGGGCCAATAAAAACCTGTGTAGGTAGACACAAAAATATGTAACAAAAAATCTAGAAGACACAGAAATTGAGATAACAATTTAATTGTATATGGGTAAGGAAATGTGTGGGACATCATGAGTTGAAGGAGAAATGATTCCTTTAAATTTTTTAGACACCCAAGGCCGGTACTGTGGCATAGTAGAATAAGCTACCGCCTGCAACGTCAGAAGCCTATATGGGTGCCAGTTCAAGTCCCAGCTGCTACATTTCAGATCCAGCTCCCTGCTAATGTACTTGGAAAAGCAGCAGCAGATGTCTCAAGAGCTTGGATCCCTGAACCCACTTGGGAGACCTGGAAGAAGCTCCTGGCTCCTGGCTTCAGCCTGACCCAGCCCTAGCCGTTGCAGCTACCTGGAACCAGGAAGATCAGGAAGACCTCTCTCTCTGCCTCTCTCCCTCTCTGTAACTATGCCTTTCAAATAAATTAATAAAGAATAAAAACTTATACACTTCTATTGCTCTACTCAAAGAGAAGCTTCATTTTTTTTCCTTTATTACATTTATAATAGGACTCTCTAAATGGCAAGAAAACAAAATTTTCTAAAATACCAATTATAGCCTCTAAAATTTATAGATATTTTATCAGATTATAAAATTATTTTTGAAAACAAAAATACCATACAAACTATAATATTTTCAATACTTAAATATATCACATAATGTAAATTTAAATCACTAAAAAAACCTCACAGGTTATATACAACCAAGCCAAGTCTAATTCTAGGGGAAGTCAAATATAAATTATACTGTAATTTATATTGAGTGATGTTCAAACAGAGTAAAGAAATATGTGTAAAATAATTACAGGGGCCAGCCTTGTGGTGCAGCAGTTTTAAGCTGGCACCTGTGACACCAGCATCCCTTACAAGCTCCAGTTCAAGTCTGGCCTGCTCCACTTCTTATTTAGCTCCCTGATAATATGCCTGGGATGTATAAGACCTGGATTGAGTTCCAGGCTCCTGGCTTCTGCCTGGTCCAGACTTAGCTGTTGTGTCCATTTGAGGAATGAACCAGTAGATGGAAAAGTATCTTTCTCTCTGTCTCCTCCTGTGTCACTCTTTGGGAAAAAAAAAATCTTAAAAAAAAAAAAAAAAACTTTATTAAAATCAATAATTACAGATTATATGGTACTTGGGACCTGAAAGTACCTAATAAATGCTTTCCCATTATAGAGGTGGTAAAAAGAAAGTCTGAAGTATAGTGTTGCAATGATATTGAAAAACCGAGAAATTAAAAACTAAAAAATAAGATTTACCTGTGTGATGATTTAACTTTGTAATTTACAACATTTATCATTTACAACAATCTCTATCAGGTAAAAAGTTTATAACATTATAATCAATCCAAAGTCCTGTCTTTTAAAAAAATCTTACTTAAAATCACACATTTTTATATCTGATCTTAGCCAAAAGGCCAAGAGCATTAAAATAACACATTTTCCTAAAAGGTAAAGTTTCATTTCAAGTCCAATTTTCCAAATGTATACTATTAACAAATTTCTGGCAAAACAGAAGAGTAATCCTCTCATCTTCATGTTTTTGCATTTGAGTTTGATATATTGCTGTAAAGGACTTTGGGGGGTGATATTAGATGTGGTAACTGTAATTTTATTGAAGCAACTGCATTGAAATTCACTTGGACATTCTCTCCATTATCAGATTCTATTCCCAACAAGTGTTCTATAAATCCAAATGGATTACCAGTGTGCTATAGACTTATGGAACAGCATTCTGTATTTGGTGTGCATTGAAAATAGTTTGCATAAGTTAGTCTTGGTTATCATTTAAAATATTTTTAAATGTTCCTTACATAAAAATTTATGTTGTATTTTTAAACTTTTAGGGGGCTTTATTTTTCTAAGCCAGTTAACTGTACTTTTTGAAAAAGTATTTTGTATCTACTTTTGTAACTTCATCAAAATAAAATATATTGAAGCAAAAAATAAAAAAATAAAAATTTCCCATAATATTCCTTACTATATTAAGTTCCCTTTTAAATAATTAAGTAGAGATAACAGCTCTCACCTGTAGGTTAACCAAGGTTCCAAATCGACTAAAATGTTCATTAAGTTTACTGATATTATTTAATTCTGGAGGAACTTTTCTAAGTTCAAGTTTGGTGTTCTCATTTCCAAACTGAACCTTCTTCTGGAAGCCTGGGCTGTTTGTTCTGTTAAAATTTGGCCTATAAACAAAAATCAAGTTAATTAATACATTTTTAAGTCTTAACCTCTACCAAGTACAAGGGAATAAAGTTTTACTTGCAAAATTAATATCAAGTTCAATTCTCCTCCCCTACAAAAAATGATAAAAGAAAATTTAAAATTTCTCTCAAAGAACAAAGTTTCCAAATTAGAAATAGTAACATCTTTCACAAAGTCAACTTACAAGGGTCCTGCCATGTCATTTTAACTTTCCATTTTTGATCTGCTCCTACTTAACATTCCTAGCAAAACAGGTTCTATTTCCCTATTTCAATCAATTTGCATATAATACCTTATTCTATTTCTGCAAAAACTAATTTACTGAAATGGGTTTAAAGTTTTGGTTAAATGTAAAATTTGAAAATGCATTTTCTTTGATGCAAATAATTGCTGTCTCAATCTCTTTTCCACTTAAAAAATGAATTACTAGAAATACAGATCATACATTTGACACTTAAATCACAGATCTAGAACTAGAAACTAGCCATTACAAAAGATACTAAAGCTCTGTGTGATCCCAGTCTCCCTTCACAGCAGATTTATAAATATATCATCACATATACCCCCCACCATTACCACCAACACCCAACATTCTGATTCCTTACCACTTGATCTAAAGCCCTTCCTTGACAATTCAGTGCCTATCCAGCTTTTCAAACTCCATAAAAAGCCCTTTCTAGCTAACAGGAACTGCCTATATGCTAGTCTCTTCCCAAACCTGATCCACATCTCCTTCTTGTAATGATGAGATATTTATGACCATCCTGGATATAGTTTGTATTCAATGACATATCTAAGTTACATAAGAGGAAGTTTTCTGGAGAAAAGGAAAGTGGAAAGGGGAAAAATTATATCCTCATCCACCACACCATTTTTCCAAGAAAATTCCTTTATAGTACCAGACAACTAATTTCTTGATTTTTCATTTTTTAGAAACTTCAGATTTAGTTGGTGATTCTCTACATAACAGAATCACAGTTTTTGAAAGAAAATACTGTATTCTGGTCATAATACAATAACAACTGCAAAATCAGAGCACAATAAAATTCATCAATTTTCTCTTACTTGTCAAACCAAGTCTTTTTTGTAGGAACTCCAGGCTCCCCAGAACCAATGGTTCTTTTCCTTGATTCTGAATCCACTACTATCCTCATACTGCTTTTATTAGGTGGTTTTTCTGTTTTAAAACAAAAGGAAAAAAACCCATAGATTAGTATTTTCTGTTGATTATACCTACTTCCTTAAAGTCATACTGAATAATTCCGGTTTTTTGTACAAATATATACATTTTAGAACAAACATAAAAATTTATGTTCAAGAGCAGGCATTTGGCCTACTACTTGAGACACTGGATTCCTATATCAGAGTCTACCTGGGTTCAATTCCTGGCTCCAGCTCTTGACTCTAGCAGATCCCAGGAAACAGCATGGCTCCAGTAATTGTGTTGCTGCTGCCCACATGTGAGACATGGACTGAATTCCCAGCTCCTGGCTTTAGCCCAGCTGAGCCATTGCAGACATTTGGGGAATGAATCAATAGATGGAAGCTCTCTGTTTCTCCCTGTCTATCTCTTTCAGTCTCTCAAATAAATAAATAAATAAATAAATAAATAAATAAAATGTATATTAAAATACAGCAATCTAAGGGATTTTCAAACTATTTCAAATACATTCTTTCATCTCACATTTAACTGTAAAGAAGAATCAATAATTCTCACATGTCAAATCAAAATGTGATTCTGCAGATCACTTCTTTGGAGTAAAGCACGTGTCACTGTTCCCATTGGCCATTATACTCAACACAAATAAATATGAAAATATTCAAATAAACAACAAATACATCATCCTGAGACTCAGTTTTGAAATCAAACACACAATCTAACAGACTCAAAATGTAACAATCCAATAACCTTTCAGAATCACTAACAGAGTTCAGACTGAAGTGAACTGCTTATATAAACAGCAGCATATTAACATAATGAAAATGTACTAGATTTAAAAAGGAAAATATGTAAGACTGGAATCCAAGTACAAATTATTGCTAGTTTCAACAATTTATATTTACTTAGAATTTGATGAGAATGGAACATTTTAACCTGTTTTCCCCAGATGACTTTAAAGTTCAAAACATGCAAACTTCAAACTATACAGAATTATATGGTTTTATATTTAACCAAAAGAATTTAGGATCTATTTCAGCACAATCTATTATGATTACAACTATGATCTCCATGAAGGAGAACATATCAATTTCTTATCACCCAGGAATGTTTGCTGAAGACTAGTCTAAATTTCTAACTTCTTGATTTTCTCTAGTGAGTTTCTTCTGGAAATCCTACGACTATCTGAAAACTCAATAGGTACAATATTCAAATTACCTTTATATTAAAATGTTTTTATATTTAGACCAGTGTTGTGGTGCAGCTGGTTAGGCTGTTGCCTGCAATTCTGGCACCTCACGTGGGTACTAGTTAGGTCCCAGCTGCTCCACTTCAGATCCAGTTCCCTGATGGTACACCTGGGAGTACAGCAAAGGATGGCCTAGGTGCTTGAGGCCCTGCTGCCCACACAAGAGACCTGGGTGGAGTTCCAGACTCCTGGCTTTGGCCTGGCACAGCCCTGACCACTGTGGCTATTTTGGGAGGTGAAGCCGTGGATGCGGTATCTCTCTCCCACCCCACTCCCTCTCTCTGTGGCTTTGCCTTTTGGATAAATACATCTTTTTGAAAAAATTAATCTTTCTTAAACATTTATATTAATTCTACCACGATTTTCTCAAAGACCACAGTCAATCATATTTCATTCCTGATACTCCCCATATCACTTCAACTAATCTTTTATGCATTTTTTCTCATTTTAAAAATATCTCTAGTGTAAACTTCTCTTACTTTTGATTAAGTCTATCTTTCTAACTGGCCTTTTATGTCCAGATTCTCCATCAATTGATTTTTCCCACACAAATAAGAGTACTTCAAAAAGTGCATAGCAAATGGAATCGAAAGTTTCTCTTGGTGCAAGCAAATTAAATGCAAGAACATGAGAGGTCTCCAAAATGTTCATGGAAAATGCTACTCTGAAAAAAGATTTACACAAGGTTTTCAAAAGTTTTTGTACTGGGGCCAGCGCTGAGGTGCAGCAAGTTAAGCTACCATCTGCAGAGCCACATCCATATGGGTGCCAGTCGGATTCCTGGCTGCTCCACTTCTGATCCAGCTCCCTGCTAGTGCACCTGGGAAGGCATCAGAAGTTGGCCCAAGTCCTAGAGCTCCAGCACCCATGTGGGAGACTTGCAGGAGGCCCCGGGTTCCTGGCTTCATCCTGGTCACTACAGTCATTTGGGGAGTAAACCAGCAGATGGAAGATAACTCTCTCTCTCTCTCTCTCTGTCATTTCTTTCAAATAAATAAATTAAAAAAAATTTTTTTTGTACCAAATTAAACTTACCTTTTGGAACCTAACTACTTTCCTCCATATTCAGCTTTTCCCACAACACAGGTGTTTCTCATCAATATTTAAACATTACAGCTCAAATTATTCCATTTTTAAAAAAGAAAACCTCATGAAACCAATTTCTCCTTCAGCTACCTCATTTTCTCTCCTCCTACCTCCATAGCCATTTCCTAAGAAAGGCCTACACTTGCTAACTTTGCTTCCTTTCCACCTACTCACTCACAAATCCTGTGAAAGTTGCCAGCTGCTCCCATTACTGCTCTTAACTTGGTTTTATTAAAACTGCTGTTCAAATTTGTTACTCAAACTTATGAAAATTGGGGCCGGCACTATGGTGTAGTGGGTAAAGGCACCGCATGTAGTGCTGGCATCCCATACTGGCTCCAGTTCGAGTCCCAGCTGCTCCACTTCTGATCCAGCTCTCTCTGCTATGGCCTGGGAAAGCAGTGGAAGATGGCCCATGTCCTTGAGCCCCGGAAGAAGCTCTAGGTTGCTGGCTTCGGATCAGCCCAGCTCCGGCTGTTGTGGCCATTTGGGGAGTGCACCAGCAGATAAAAGACCTCTCTCTCCCTCTCTCCATCTGCCTCTGTAACTATGCCTTTCAAATGAATAAATATTAAAAAAAAACTATGAAAAGTTCTCAGTACTTCTCTTACTTGACTTCTCAGAGGGATCTGTTGCTGCTGATCACCTTCCTCTCCTTAGATATTATCTTCCCTGAATTTTCAGGAATCTCCCCTTCTGTGTTTGTTGCTTTTTGGTTTTATTCTTTCAGTCCTCCATGTTAGCTCCTTCATATACTTAAGCTTTCTCATCTTACTCCACGCAATACCTTTAAGACACCATCTTTCCTATCACTTGCCATAGCTTCATTCATCTTTTTCAGTGATGTAGGATAAGGGGGAAGGAATGGAGAAGGGGCAGTAGGATAGTAAACACCCAGGAGAAAGGCTTTTATACTCTATGTAAGTCACACCCATAGACTTTGCTGTGGCTTCTTTCAACTCCCCTTACCTGACGAACAGGACAGAAGAAAACATTAAGAACCAAAGTCCTGGCAGCAGTAGTCAGCCCCTACCTAACCTGCTTGCCACTGCTTCCTCGCAGTGTGTCCAATAAGTATAGTCCTGCTCACTGGAAAAGAATGAAAGTCCTACCTATTTCAATCACAAAATCTGTACTTTCTAGTTAAGTGCCTTTCACGGATCTCAAACTTCCACATTTTATCTCCCACCTAACATTTTTACTCAAATGTCCCCTGAAGGGGCCCCTGCACACTGCTGTGATGCACTGGGTTAATGCCCTGGCCTGAAGTGCCAGTGTCCCATATGGGCACCGGTTCTAGTCACGGCTGCTCCACTTCCGATCCAGCTCTCTGCTATGGCCTGGGAAAGCAAAAGATGGCCCAAGTCCTTGGGCCCCTGCACCCACGTGGGAGACCTGGAAGAAGCTCCTGGCTCCTGGCTTCAGATCGGCGCAGTTCTCGCCGTTGCGGCCAATTGGGGAGTAAAGCAGCAGATGGAAGATCTCTCTCTCTCTCTCTGGCTCTCCTCTCTCTGTGTAACTCTTTAAAATAAGTAAATAAATATTTTTTAAAAAATGTCCCATGGACAAAACAAACACATCCAAATTTATCTTCCTATCAAATCTATTGTTTCTAATGAATGATATTATGATATGCCTAATTATCCAGGGCAGAATTCTCATATCTAATTTCACTCATTCCCTTACTCTAATCTCCACAATTAACTACTGTCAATTCCTTCCACTAAATTTAAATCTTTGAATTCACACTTGCTTATTTATTATTTTATGTGAAAGGGAAACCAATGGAGAGGGCAATGGGGCTGAGTCGGGGAGGGGGAGATCTGATCTTCCATCTACTGGTTCACTTCTCAAACAGGTTCACTTCCTGCAACAGTCATGGCTGGGCCAGTACTAAGCCAGGAGCCAGGAACTCCATTAGGGTCTCCTACCTGGGTAACAGGGACCCAAGTACTTTGAAACATCATCTGTTGCCTCCCAGGGTGTATGTCAGCAGGAAACTGGATTGAAAGCAGAGGCATTCTGATATGAGATGTGAGCATCCCAAGCAGTAGCTTAACCTGTTGCACTACAACACCTGCCTTATCACTTCCCACTCTTTTTGTCTGAGTTTAGATACTAAAATTTCTATTATAGAATTCTTTAAATATCTTTAATTGGCCTCTTACCTCTTTCACATCCCTTACTTCTTCTATTCCAGTCACAAAGTTCTTTTAGTTTCTACAAATTATCACAGGGTGCCTACAGTTTGTCTACCCCCTCTCCAATTATGCTGACTTATTCCACATTTCCAAAGCCAATCAAGTGGAAACATCCTGCATTTAGCATTGGTCACAAAATATAGTGCTAAGTGGCACTTTCTTTGTCCAGTAGTACCTTCACTACAGTTCTACAACAAGACTTTTGCTCCTACAAATGCCTCCCAAGTCTGGTTCACTGGCCCTCTTAGAAACTCTAAGCCATCTAAAATCCTGCTTTACTTTTAGTACGTTCTGTATCTGAAAGTTTACTAAGAAAGATAGTAATATCCTGTTCCTCTAGTAACTGAGATGGGTTTGATCCAATTCATTTGTATTACTTCACTCAGATTCCCTATCACCGATATTTATTTATGATGGAGCAATATTAAAACCACAGAGCAAGTTCTTCCTGGTATATTACCAACAAATATGTCTTGGTAGTTTATGAGTTTTGTTCTCAATGTTCTTTTATTAAATTGTCAAATGTTTTTCTGCTTAAAATTGAGAACACTGGTTTTGATGATTATTAATGGAAAAATATTGAAATCCTTTTGTCTATATTGAATCATGGCCAGCGCCACAGCTCACTTGGCTAATCCTCCGCCTGCAGCGCCGGCACCCCAGGTTCTAGTCCCAGTTGGGGCACCGGATTCTGTCCCGGTTGCTTCTCTTCCATTCCAGCTCTCTGCTGTGGCCCAAGAAGGCAGTGGAGGATGGCCTAAGAGTTTGGGCCCTGCATCCACATGGAAGACCAGGAGGAAGCACCTGGCTCCTGGATTCGGATCGGCGCAGAGTGCCAGCCGTAGCGGCCATTTGGGGGAATGAACCAACGGAAGGAAGACCTTTCTCTCTGTTTCTCTCTATCTAAATCTGCCTGTCAAAAATAAATAAATAAATATATTGAATCATGCCAGTATCTACCAAGTTCTCCTCTTCCTTAGAAATCCTGAAAAGAATTATGAAGTCTCTGGGTCACTTTTAAATTAGTAATAATACCAAGTCATCAAATGTCTACACTATTTTCATTTGTTTAATAAGGGTAATTCCCCATAAAGGTTTAAAATTAGTAGACATAAAGGTCTAACATCATGACAAACTTAAATCAAGGCCATCTACAGGCTATTAGAAATGTATAATAATTATATAACAAACACTTTTAGAAACTGTTTATGTGTCACAATACAGGACAGTGACTCTGGAACTCAAATAGAGAATGCATCAGAACATAAGGGGGGAGGGGAGGAGGGGCGAGGGAGAGATAGCAATAATAACATAGACAATCCTCAATTTAAATGGGTTGCTAAATAAGTTATTTGATACACAAAAACCATGTTATTAATGAAGAATATATTTTTAAATCAGCTCACAAAAGAAGTACGTGATATATGTATGCAGTATAAAAATTATCACTATGTATTACACAACAAAGACTCTATGAGAAAAGATGTTCAAAGTACCTCTGGGTGGCAAATCCATATCCCCTGATGTTAGTCCTATTAAGTTAGGCCTCTGTGCATGCACTCTGTGTCTATACATAGGTCTGGAAGTATTTGTTATACTTGGGGCTTCAGGATTGTAGCCATCTGTGTCATATGTATCTGGTAATACAAAAACTGCAATTAAAAAACATTATAAAACTCCACTTGGTAATTTTTAATACTGATAACAGAAAAAGCAAACCATATAACTTACACATAGCCAACACATTTTATATGTATTAAAACTTAATGTCATAAGAATAAAAATTACATTTTTTAAAAAACCATAACTGGGAATTTATTTATAGTATATTCACCATGTTTATATTATATGCTATATAATTTTAGTAAGGAAAATACTTCTGATAGACCAATTCACTATCTAGACATTTTTAAATTCTTCATCTAAACCTGTATTGTATTATCAATATAGTGAGGGCAAAACTGCACCTGCAGTAAAAAGAGAGGGTGGAGCTGGAGGAGTTTGATGATGAATGCCAGTTGTTACTACAGTAGGAACAGAACTGGTCGCAGAATTTGGGGGAGCATCCATGCCAGATGGTTGCAAAGGAGGAAGTGGAGGTGGTGGTCCTGTCAAAACCAAAGAATAAGAAATATCATCTGAAAGCAAACAAATAAAATGAGTTATTATATATCCAAACATGATATTCTTATTATCAATACATAATATATCCAAACATCAACCAAATTAATTATGACTAAATTAATTTCAAAGGTAAAATCTCATTTTAATGTGTTCAAAAATAGGTTTTCCTTAAGCTATAAGTGATTCTCAACAGCCAGGATTTATCAGTAACATTCATAACTCATAGGGCCAATCTAAACCACAGTAATAGGTCTGGCATAAGCTGAAAAGTGGAGGCATACTCCCAATGCAGTATGTTGCTTATAATTTCCACCAATGATTAATGTTACTACTTGAGGTACTTGTAACAAAATCAAATATCAAACTATTAAAATTATAAAAAGACTATGCATGAATACATAAATACAGAAAACACACATATTAACTTACCTGTGACAGGTGGAAGACTGGGTGGTAATGGACCAGGAGGTGGCACTGGCGGTCTAAGATTCACAGGTGGGGGTGTAAGAATTGGTGGGGGTGGGGGGAGTCCAGGAGGAGGTGGTCCTTCAACAACAGGAGGCTGTGCTGGAAAAGGCAGCATACCAGGAAGATTCACATCTTCTACAACTACTGGGTCACTTCCATGATCAAAAGGGCACATGTCTCCTCTCATACAAAAACCCTTTTCTGTGAGCAAAGAAAAAATTACAAACAAATGTAAAAAGCACTAGAAATATAAATTTTAAGTTAACAAAAGGTGCTTAAAATATAAAGATTAAAATATATTAGGGAAACACATACTTAACTATTTCACAAGGGATACTTGCTCATTTTCTGTAATATAAATATTCATCAAGTAATATTATATCTAATATACACATGAAAACAATATATCACCAAACTAAAGAGTATCTAGCTAGGAAGATGATAAAAAATATATAATCTCTGTCTTAAGAGACATTACCTTTCATTTAAATCTCCCATTACTTATAAAACTTTTACAGCATATCTTCAAGTCTTCAATTCAGGAGCCCGTAATGTGGTGTAGCAGGCTAAGATAAACCACAGTCTGCAGTGCCAGCATCCCATATGGGCCCTGCTTCAAGTCAAGGCTGTTCTACTTCCAAGCCAGCTCCTTTCTAATGTGCCTTGGGAAAGCAGTAGAAAATAGCCAAAGTGTTTGGGTCCCTACACCTATGTGGGAAACTTGGATGAAGCTCCTGGCTCACAGTTTCAGCTTGGTCCAGCCCTGGCCATTGCAGCTATTTGGGGAGTGAACCAGCAGATGGAAAATCTCTTTCTCTGTCTCCTCCTTTCTGTAAATCTTTCAAATAAAATCTTTTAAAAAAAAGTATTCAATTCTTTCAAAAAATCCTAATATTGGTGATGTTTACACTTGGAGACCCTTACATTCAAGTAATCATTTCTAAAAAATGAGTTTTATCAATAATGTTTAAGAAGCAGATTCCCGGCCGGTGCCACGGCTACATAGGCTAATCCTCCGCCTGTGGTGCAGGCACACCAGGTTCTAGTCCCGATCGGGGCGCCAGATTCTGTTCCGGTTGCTTCTCTTCCATTCCAGCTCTCTGCTGTGGCCCGGGAGTGCAGTGGAGGATGGCCCAAGTGCTTGGGCCCTGCACCCTCATGGGAGACCAGGAGAAGCACTTGGCTCCTGGCTTCAGATCAGCGTGGTGCACCGGCCGCAGCACCAGCCACAGCGGCCATTAGGGGGTGACCCAACGGAAAAGGAAGACCTTTCTGTCTCTCTCTCTCTCACTGTCCACTCTGCCTGTCAAAAAAAAAAAAAAAAAGCAGATTCCCTCCCTGATAGAATATTTACTCATTTAGTGAGCTCCAACAATATATTAGGACTCAGATGCAAATAAACAGTAGCTTTAAATTGATAACTATCAGTACAGACTAATCAAAGTTTCAGTGAAATTTCCCACTATTTCCAGTCTTTGAGTTACTGTGTACAACCTAAAGTTACAGAATGCAGACAGGTGTATTACTTTAATACTCCACGTGGGGGCTGGTGCTGTGGTGCAGCCGGTTGACGCCCTGGCTTGGCGTACCAGCACCCCACATGGGCGCTGGTTCAAGACCCGACTGCTCCACTTCCAATCCAGCTCTCTGCTATGGCCTGGGAAAGCAGTAGAAGATGGCCCAAGTCCTTGGGCCCCTGCACCTGCATGGGAGACCTGGAAGAAGCTCTTGGCTCCTGGCTTTGGATCGGCACAGCTCTAGCTGTTGCGGCCAATTAGGGAGTGAACCAGCAGATGGAAGACCTCTCTCTCTCTCTCTCTGCTTCTCCTCTGTGTAACTCTTTCAAATAAATAAATAAATCTTAAAAAAAAAATACTCAAAGACTTACCATCATAGTCTCTACAACGTTTCTTTGGCATCGGTGGTCTTACATAAGAGTTATGGTCCACCTGATCTTCATGAAATTCAGACCAGCTTTCGGTAGTGTTGTTACCATGATGAGTAGGAGCAATTACTGTAATAGTGCTGCTCAAAGTAGGTACAGGATAGTGGCCAGATGAAATATTAGGTACCGAAGAGACTGGAGTATAATTATTTTCTAATGGATCTGTTCTATCCAGGTCATATTTAGGTTTTACCAGATCTCTTTCTGCAATAAAATATGCATTACTTAGAAAATTATACTCTATTATAAAAAAGTCTTAGATGTAAGAAATTATATTTTTTCTTAACAGAAAAAAATTTTATATTTTGCACAACTTTTTCATTTTAAAGCTATTTAATAATAAGCAATACTCCGAAATCAGCTATTTAAGTATGACCTAAACCATAAAATCACACATACACCTGCTTTTTGGGGCCAGCACTGTCATCCCAAATGGGTGCCAGTTCAAGTCCCAGCTGCTCCACTTCCAATCCAACTCCCTGCTAATGTATCTGGGAAAGCAGTGGAAGATGGCCCAAGTCCTTAGGTCCCTGCACCTATGTGGGAGAGCCGGAAGAAATTCTGGCTCCTGGCTTTGGATCAGCCCAGCTCTGGCTGTTGTGGTCTTTTGGGGAGTGAGCCAGCAGATGGAAGATTCTCTCTAATTCTACCTTTCAAATAAAATAAATAAATTTTAAAAAACTAAATAATGTTGCTTTTCATTGGAGTTTTGCTTATACAAGTAAGATTTTCCCATTTTCTTCACTGCAATCTTAGTCTCATAACTGTAGCCCACAAAACAAAATATGCAATAAAAGTATGGCTCTTTTCCCTGTGATGAATACTTGTTACCTTGCATCAAATAGATCAGTAAGAGAATGAGTGGGCAAAGAGGAAGAGAAGTTCATGTTAAACATGAGCCAAGAAACTAGGCTTTATATGGTCCCTACGAAAACAGTAAGATATTAAGGAAATTATGTAAATGAAGCAATGTGCAAAGGGACCTCCTTTACCTAGATCTCAGTGGGGGAAAACACTCTACGAAAAATATAACAGGGGCCGGCTGTTATAGCGGGTAAAGCTGCCGCCTGCTGGCATCCCACATGGGCATGGTTCCAGTCTCAGCTGCTCCACTTTTGATCGTTCCAGTCTCAGCTGCTCCACTTCCGATCCAGCTCTCTGCTATGGCCTGGGAAAGGAGTGGAAGATGGCCCACGTCCTTGGGCCCCTCCACTCACATGGGAGTCCCAAAAGAAGCTCCTAGCTCCTGGCTGCAGACTGGCCTAGCTCTGGCTGTTGCGGCCATCTGGGGAGTGAACTAGAGGATGGAAGACCTCTCTCTCTCTCTCTCTCTTCGCCTCTCTGTAACTCTACCTTTCAAATAAATAAATAAATATTTTTTAAAAAAGAAAAATATAACAGAATATACATCTTACACAAAGGCCACAGTATTAATTAGAGTAGAAAAAAATCTCTAAATTAGAGCAAAGGTATTTTACTCAAAGGTATTTTACTTGTTTTACAATGTTTTCCTTTCAATAATACGCATTCAAAGTAAAATTACACATATTAGAGATGACATGCTCCTGCAAATCATATCTGAAATGATAAGTGTTACACAATGAATTGCACATGCTTAAAATGTACAATTCAATGATTTTTTAATCCACGTATGCCTATGAAACCAATACAATTCAAAATGAACACACTCATCACTCCTAATCCAGGCCTCCTTTAGTACACTAATTTGTTTTCTACCATAACAGATTAGTTGATATTTTCTAAAATGTTATATACCTATGTATGTTTGACTTCTTTCACTCAAATTAGTTATTTTGAGGTTCAGTCATTTTGCTACATGATTTAACAGTAGCTCTTTGCTTTTTATCCATACTACGATACAAATATACTAAAATGTCTTAATCCATTTACATATTGATGGAAATTTCAGTTGTTTCTAGTTCTGACTATTACATGAACAATTCTGTATAAGTCTTAGTGAGTAGACTTATATTCTCATTTTTTTACTAAATACCTAGGAGTGGATTGGCTGAGTCATATGCTAGGTTTAGGTTTAACATTTTAAGACAGTGACAAAGTGTCTTCCAAAGAATTCTGGTTTATCTACATTCTCACCAGCACTGAATATAGTCAATCTTTTTCATTGTAGCCATCCTGATGAATGTGCAGTGTTAATTATTTGTGATTTTACTCTGCACGGAATGAAATTTCTTAAAGAAACTTTTAAAAAGCTTTTACTTAGACCACAAGACACAAGAACAACATAGAAGAAATGAAGATAACAGTGGCAAAATGTTAAATAATTTAAAATAAACCTTACATTTGGAGTTTTTCATAATAATAAAAGAATGCTAACCAAAATATACACATGTATGTATTATTTACCCCTGCTTCGTGTTCTGCTTCTGCTTCTAGTTCTGCTTCTATCTCTATCCCTGTCACGAAGCCTCTCTTTACTCCAACTTCGACTTCGACTCCTGCTGTAACTGCGACTCCTCCCCCGTCTTCTGTTGTACCGGTCTCTGTATGAATCTCTTCGAGGAGGGTTTCGGTCATAATCTCTTTTGCGAGAACGATCATCTTTTTTCCTTTCATCACGACTTCTAAAAAAATATATATAGTTGCTTTTATGTTTATAGACAATTTCAAGTGGATACAAGAAAAACTCTTAAGTGCCAAAGCTGTATGTAATTCTGATAACATTATAACTTTTTACCCTACCACACATTTGTATTATATGCCAATTACTCAAACTGGAAAAAAAAAAAAAAAAAACACCCGAGTTTAAATATTCCAAAATCCTTTTTAAATAAAAGGAAACCTTTAGTCTTTAGTCTTATTCTTTAGTCTTAGTCACAACAGCATCTACACATCAGACATTTGTACCTAAAAGCATCAATACATGTCTTATGGTACATGCTGTCTTGTACATATATTCTCATAGGCCTATCATTTTCACTGTACTCTACACACTTTGAAAACTTTAAAGAACAAAATAAAAATAATCTAATGACACTAAAGGGAAACTTCAGCCAAAAAAAAGTCTTACATTAAAATTCCACTGGATTTGAAGTTAGCAATAAAAATAATAACTAACATATGCCAAGCTTTATTCTAAACCTTTTACCTTAGAGCTACAAAACAGACCTAGGTTTTCATGGTAGAAAAGCACCTAGTTACTTTGCTATACCAACAAAAGAGAGCACATTACTTGTTCCTATGCATAAGGCAACCAAAGTCTAAACATTAAGCATGGTTCAATAACCACTTACCTATTTTCTCTATAACGGGAACTTGACTGGGGAGGACTGTGATTTAGCCTTCTAGAAAACTTCTTCTCTCGTTCTTCCTCTTTTGTGATCTTACAAACCAAAAAAAAGAGATACTCTTCTTTGCCATGTTACTATTTCAGTGTTTTAATTATTAAAATTATTAATAGAATATATGAAAACTATTATCTCCTAAATATTCAAACAAAATAAACTTCTTTACTAGTTAGAATTATTCAATTATTTAATTTAGCCATAAAAAGGCAATCCACTCAAAGTTGAAACAAATGGTAAAGAAAAATCATAAGTATGTATCTTCAGATAAGAACATTAAGCAAACATTTAAAATATCCTCATTTTAACATAATTCATGGAAAGTCAATTTTATTCCTTCTTTTAAAATACTAATATGCACTTATGTTTTTTTTTTTTTGGTGGGGGGGGATTAGTCTTGCACTAAACACATCAAGGAACAAAGGAAAATACATTTGAAATATTCAAGTCATCAAAAGAAAATAGTTGAAAATCAGTAAATCTGTAAGACAAAATATTCTACAGTTTCCCGTTACACTGGGTCTTACAAGGTGCCTCCATTCATAAATACTGCCTTGATTAGTAATACTTTCTCCAGACTATAATATCTACAACACTGGTTCTGTAAGACATAAACAGATATGATTAGAATAAAAGGCTTTAGAGGTAAAACAAACTCAAGAAATACTGAACACTAACTTTTGTAAATACAAAAGGGCTCAAGATTTTGCATTTTTAATAAGACTCTTAAGACATTCTGAAACAGAGTATCTACAAACAGAGTACTCATGTTATAGTTTATAGCAGCTTTTCTAGCATCCCTTTAAGTAACAGCTTCTTTCTGTCAAAAGTGTGCCACTTGGATTAGATAAATTAAATGGAAACTCTACTAATACACTGAACTAGAAGAAACACTCTTTAAAGCCTTCTTTTTTTTTGACAGGCAGAGTGGACAGTCAGAGAGAGAAAAAGGTCTTCCTTTGCCGTTGGTTCACCCTCCAATGGCCGCCGCGGCCAGCGCGCTGTGGCCGGTGCACCATGCTGATCTGAAGGCAGGAGCCAGGTGCTTCTCCTGGTCTCCCATGGGGTGCAGGGCTCAAGCACTTGGGCCATCCTCCACTGCACTCCCTGGCCACAGCAGAGAGCTGGCCTGGAAGAGGGGCAACTGGGACAGAATCCAGCGCCCTGACCGGGACTAGAACCCGGTGTGCCGGCACAAGGCGGAGGATTAGCCTAGTGAGCCATGGCACCAGCTAAAGCCTTCTTTCAATAGCTTGACATTTTAAAGCACTTTTATTATCTTCCTATCCACACTCTCTTCCCAATCCAGACAAAAAAAATTGATACAAATACATTCTTCCTGATGCAGTTTTTCCCTTCTCTTTACTTCACTGCATTCTTGGAAGTTAATTTATGTTGACAGAATACCATATTCCATAGTACATGCTTCTCTGGGAACTTTTAGTACACCCACAGCATTTAAAAAAATGAGACTGCCATCTGTCATTTTGACAATTCTGAAATATCAAGGCTAAATATCCTCCACAATTAAGTCAAGAAAGCATTGATGTTATACTACTAAATCAATAAATGTAAGACTAACCAATAACCTGCTTTGATGGAAGACTGCTTCTCAAACCCAAGGGCCTATCATTTACTCAAATTTTTTTTAAAAGATTAAAGCATAATTTGTAATAGTAAAAATCTGAAACTAATCAAAATCTTCATTAGTGGTCAAAACTTAAATTACTATATTTTATAAACACAATGTTCATTGTCCTAACAGAACCTATATCCTTTTAGGTATAAAATAAGCTCAGTTATAAAATTATACTTTTGATCTCTTCTTGCAGATAGAACTATCTGGGATGTTGGGAAAACCAGGTATAAATAAATAAACACACACACATATATCCATATGTGTAAATACATTTAGATACGAGGTAGATATTTGAGAATTATTACATATTATAAATATATATTATTTCATAATAAATATATTGTTTATATAATCTGGGGAAAAAGTATGAGGGGGAAAAACAAAGGTTACAATCATATCTCCCATCACACATATTCTCAACAATGATAGCAGCTTTCATTTACTGTGATGCTACTGCATCCCATACCAGACACTATGCCAGATTTTACATATATTTTATTTTCTTCACACCACTATAATATTTCAACGTCTCAGTCAAGTGAGCCTCAGAAAAGGAATGTTTTCAATGTCACAAGGCAATAACTTGAAAAAATCAAAATTTAGGCCCAAGTTATTTTTTTTTGTTTTTTGTTTTTTTTACCCAATGCCGGGAAATGGTATAATGACTTAACGGCCAACATTATGATAGCATTTCAAAAAGTTCATAGGGAAATGGCATTAAAATATTATACACACTTTCCATGATCTTTTTGAAGACTTCTTATAATTTTCCTAAAATTTCAATCTTTAAACATTAAACTGATAAGACCTGAAATACTATATTATATACCTATTAAATAAGAGTGAATGGAGAAGATTATAAGATATAAACATTTAAAAGCATCTTAAAGTATGAACATTTCCATTGTCTTGTGAAGTCTTGCATTCAACAATGTTAAAAATAGTCCCATGGAGCTGGAGCTGTGCTGTGGTGGGTAAAACCACAGCCTGCAGTACTGGCATCCCATATGGGCACCAGCGAGTCCCAGCTGCTACAACTCCAATTCAGCTCTCTGCTATAGCCTGGGAAAGCAGGAGATGATGGCTCAAGTCCTTGGGCCCCTGCACCTGCATGGGAGACCTGGAAGAAGCTCCTGGCTCCTGGCTTTGGATCAATGTGGCTCTGACTGTTGCAGCCATATGGGGAGTGAACCAGCGGATGGAAGACCTCTCTCTCTCTGCCTCTCTGTAACTCTGCCTTTCAAATAAATAAATAAAAATAAAAATAAAAATAGTCCCTTAACGGAAAGCATTTAGCCTTGTGGTTAAAACACTCTCCTGGACACTGGAGTGCCTGGGTTCAGTCTCTAACTCTGGCTCCCGACTCCAACTTCCTGCTACCGCATACTCTAACAAGCAGCAGTGAGATGGCTCAAGTAATTGAATTCCTGTCACCCATCTGGGAGACCTGGATTGAGTTCTCAGCTCTCAGCTTCAGCTATGGTCCCAGTCCAGCTCAGTCCTGCCAGTGAAGTCATCTGTGTTGAAAACCAGTAGATGGGATCACTTGCTCTCTTTGCCTCACAAATAAAAATAAATAAAATAGAAAGTCCCCTACAAAATATATGTAGGACAAAAGCACATAGATTTAAACTCAATCTAATAATTTTCATAGAACACAGTTAAGACCCCATGTCTGTAAGAGAAAAGAATTAAAAGCAGACTTGAGATGGCTATCTTTAGAGAAGCCTGCTTATACAACTGGCTGCTGGTTGGCTTCTAGAAATCCTGAGTTCTGCAGAGTGCTCAGCATTTCTTGGTAAGAATGGCTCACTCTACTTGATTTATGAGAATAACATGATTTATGTTGAACATCTAATTTCCTTTTGGGAGTCTGATATATTCTAGGTATACAGTGCCTAAATGATCAGCATCAAATAAAAACCCTGGCATTTGGCTCTAGGCAGCTTCCTTTAATTCACATGTACTAAAACAACTTGTTGCTAGGGCAAGTGCATCCTGCAATACTGCAAGGAGTTTGGAAGCTGTTTTCTACCAGATTTTCTCATAGATTTTCTCTTTGCTGACTTTGCTTTGTATCCTTTTGCTGACTTTGCTTTGTATCCTTTTGCTGTAGCTAAAACACAGCTATGAGTTATAATGACTACACATTGAGTCCTTTCAGCACTCCTAATGAAATCATCAAACGTGGGTGGTCCTGAACACTCCTAACACAGAGATAAAATAAAACTCGGGGCCTGCGCCGTGGTTCACTCGACTAATCCTCCACCTGCAGCGCCAGCACCCCGGGTTCTAGTCCCGGTCGGGGCGCCAGATTCTGTCCCAGTTGCTCCTCTTCCAGTCCAGCTCTCTGGTATGGTCCGGGAGGGCAGTGGAGGATGGCCTAAGTCCTTGGGCCCTGCACCCACATGGGAGACCAGGAGGAAGCACCTAGCTCCTGGCTTCAGATCGGCGCAGTGCCGGCCGTGGTGACCATTTGGGGAGTGAACCAACGGAAGGAAGACCTTTCTCTCTGTCTCTCTCTCACTCACTATCTAACTCTGTCTGTCAATAAAAAATAAAAATAAATAAATAAGTTAAATTAAAAAAAAATTAAAAACTCGGTTTAATTATTCCTTGTATGTATTTAAAGAATGTATAAGGTCTATCAAAGATCCTTACCTCTTCCTTTTTTATATCTTTTTCTTGGTGCTGAAAAAATTCTACCTTCAGGCTTCCTGATGATGGCTGCTCCGGAGGAGGTAGATAACTCTTCGTATTCACAGCATCGAAAAGCTTTTCCACAAATATCTGTGTCTCTAAAAATAAAAACAAAAACCACAGATAAAAAAACATTTGCTAAGATATTAATTCTCCACTTCTTTACATCAGATCTCTAATATCATATATATGTACTTTTATAAACCTAGAAATTATACTGAGACCAATAGTTTCCCAATCAGAGTGTCATGACACAAAATCCAAGTTTTCAGAGTGGTGGGGACTTGAATGGCCCAAGCCTCTGGAGTACTTGCTTCTAACCACAACTAGTCTTCCCCATTCAGTCCCACTCATGAATCAAACACAAACAGTTTGTTAACCTAGGTGTCAGCAAAGTGCAAAAAGTCGGAGAGCAATAAAGCGAAGTAGCTTCCCAAGTAGTACCATCTTTAAATAAACAAACACCTATCCAGTCATGGTCTTAAACTGTAAACCTATGTAAGAAAAAAATACCACCATGCTTCTAAAATGAACATTAGGACATTAATGAAAAGAAGCTCCCATTTTAAATCAATTAAGGATATAATCAGTCATGATATGCTTTATTCAACTTCGATACAGTTAGAACCTGTATCTTTATTGAGTTCTTTGAATACTCTGTGGACAACCTTAAGCAAACAAAGTAGTATCATAAAACAAAAGATTTTACCTTTCTGAAGAAATACATCCAGCTGATCAATACATAATGCTTTTAACTCTTTTTCACTTTTGTCTTTCTTTACCAAAGCCAGAACGTATTTTGCTAGGGCTGATGGATCTGCATCACAGCTAAAGAAAAAAGCAAAGTTGAAGGAAATTTTGCCATGTATAACAGCCATATACAACTATCCTGGAAATTCCAGTTACAAGTGAACTTAGTAGTGTAATAAACAAAATTAAGTAACTAAGTTAATACATATAAAAAGCACTTGAGTCAAGGACAGCACTAAAGAAACACGTTCTCATTATATTTGTATCTTATATGCCACACATAGCCATCATCTCTTAATAACATACCACACGGTATATTATATAGCAGAAAAGAAAGTCTAGAAATAGAGCCAAATATATTAAAAATTTGATTTTATAATGTGGCATCCAAATCAATAAAGAAGTTAAACTATGCAATAAATGATTGAGACAACTTAGCAGTTACATCTTAAAAAACTAACTTGAATCCATAATAGTCTATCTACTACAGTATATATAAAACTATAAAAACATGAAACCATTAAAGAATTATTTTGTAATGAGTTATTTTGTAACTGCAATAATGAAGACCTTTTCAATTATAATGCAAAATCTATATCATAATATTTTGATTTTTGTAAAAAGGACAACCTGCAAGATAAAAAAGAGTCAAATAACAAATGAGGAAAATGTTCAGATAGTCTTATTCATCATAAAAAGGCAAATTCTTCTAAAACATAGTTTCTATCTATCAAGAGCAACAATGTAAAAGAAAAAAAAGACTATAAACACACAAAAAAAATGGAAGCCAGGGGTGTGGCACAGCAAGTTAAACTATTGCCTAAATGCTGTAACTCTGTATGGATGGTAGTTCCTATCCCTGCTACTTACTCCATTTCTGATCCAGCTCTCTACTAAAGCACCTGGGAAAGCAAAAGAAGACAACCCAAGCACTTAGGCCCCTGCCACCAATGGGAGAAACCTGGATGGAGTTCCAGGCTCCTGGCTCTGGCATGGCCCAGTCTGGCCTACTAAAGCCATCTGGGGAATAAATTAGCAGATGGGAGATTCTGTCACTCTACCTCTTAAATAAAATAAATCAATCTTTAAAAAAAAGAAATGAGGGCTGGCGTCGCGGCTCACTAGGCTAATCCTCCGCCTAGCGGCGCCGGCACACCGGGTTCTAGTCCCGGTCGGGGCGCCGGATTCTGTCCTGGTTGCCCCTCTTCCAGGCCAGCTCTCTGCTATGGCCAGGGAGTGCAGTGGAGGATGGCCCAGGTGCTTGGGCCCTGCACCCCATGGGAGACCAGGAAAAGCACCTGGCTCCTGGCTCCTGCCATCGGATCAGCGCGGTGCGCCGGCCGCGGCGGCCATTGGAGGGTGAACCAACGGCAAAGGAAGCCCTTTCTCTCTGTCTCTCTCTCTCTCACTGTCCACTCTGCCTGTCAAAAAAAAAAAAAAAAAAAAAGAAAGAAATGAAAGTGACTCTTAAATGTGAATAAATTTTACAGGTCAGTAGAAGGGAGCTGGATGGGAAGTGGAGCAACTGGGACTCAAACTGGTGCCCATGTGGGATCCCAGTATCACAGGCAGCAGCTTTACTCACTATGTCACAACACTGGCCCCTAAAGATCATTTTACAACTTAAAGTAAACTGCAGTGGAAAAAAACAGCAATGTTAACCACTAACATTTACTAAATCTGTCTGTGCCATGCACTCCACTCCTAGCTGTACATACTCACTAACCTCTCAATTTACTGATGAAGAAAGAGACTTGGGAAAAAATTTGGCAGACTGACCAAAACAACACAGCAATTATATAAAAGAAGATTTAAACCTAAATCTCATTCTCCAAAGTTCTCTCCTCCCTTCAGAGAAAGGTACCTCCTTCTTTGATGACCTGTTCTTTCCGCTGGGATCTCACTTGCAGAGATCTTTCATTTAGGTCATTTTTTTTTTCCACAGTGTCTTGGCTTTCCATGCCTGAAATACTCTCATGGGATTTTTAGCCAGATCTGAATGCCTTAAGGGCTGATTCTGAGGCCAGAGTGCTATTTAGGACATCTGCCATTCTATGAGTCGGCTGTGTATCCCGCTTCCCATGCTGAATCGTTCTCTCCTTTTTAATTCTATCAGTTAGTAATAGCAAACACTAGTCTTGTTTATGTGATCCCTTTGACTCTTAATCCTATCATTATGACCAATTATGAACTAAAACTGATCAGTTTGACTAGTGAAATGGCATTGGTACATGCCACCTTGATGGGATTGAATTGGAATCCCTTGGCACATTTCTAACTCTACCATTTGGGGCAAGTCTGATTGCACATGTGCCAAACTGTACATCTCTTCCCTCTTATTCCCACTCTTATATTTAACAAGGATCACTTTTCAGTTAAACACCTAAGAATAACTGTGTGTTAATTAAATAGTTCAACCAATAGTATTAAGAAGAATAAAAAAATACTAAAAGGGATAAAGTAATAAGTTGTTCCTCAACAGTCAGGACAAGGGCTGATCACGTCATTGTTTCTCATAGTGTCCATTTCACTTCAACAGCCATCCCACTCCTTGGAATTTACCCAAAGGAAATTAAATTGGCAAATAAAAGAGATGTCTGCACCTCAATGTTTATTGCAGCTCAATTCACAATAGCTAAGACCTGGAATCAACATAAATGCCCATCAACAGTAGACTGGATAAAGAAATTATGGGACATGTACTCTATAGAATACTATACAGCAGTAAAAAAAAAAATGAAATCTGGTCATTTGCAACAAAATGGAGGAATCTGGAAAACATCATGCTGAGTGAAATAAGCCAGTCCCAAAGGGACAAACATCATATGTTCTCCCTGATCGGTGACAACTAACTGAGCACCAAAAATGAAACCTGTTGATTTTACAAGGATATTAAAGACAAAAAGGCTCAGCAACAGCTTTGTAAAAAAAGAAATAAGATATTGGGGGAGTCACAAGAGAGACACACAATTTCAAATGAGTAGTGAGGAAAAGAATAAATAGTTCATTTGAAGAAAAACAGATTCACACATGATACATGTGACACAACATCCTTCAACTCATTTTTATTGCTTGTTTTTGTAATAACTGTTAGCAATTTTAACTCTAATATAAACATGATACAGATTTCATGTTCTACACAAAGTTCAAATGCTAAAATATTAATAATCTATACACATTAAAGCTAGAAAATAATGCAAGACATACCAAAATCTTTTAATTCCTATACATATCTAAAATATAAAAGTTCAATAAAAGCATAGCAATAATGTCACTAAATCAAAGCTATACCTTAAATACAGTGAAGAATTTGGGATATACCAACAGAATCACCTACAAAAAAAAAAAACCTAATTGCAAGTGAACAGGTATAATTCAACCATCTTCAATTTGTTTTGTTGTATTTTATAAAGGTTCCACAGGTTATAATAGTGTCAGAGTTGAGAACTATTTTATTAAGGAACTAGAATAGAATTTATCATATAGAGTATAAGACTTCCTTATCTGCATCATTATGGTGATTTTAAAGTACTTCCCAAATTCTTTACCCCTCCCTTCAAAACTGTAATTCCCCACCCCTTGAGAGTGGGCTCAATTTAGTGACTTGTTTCTAACAGAATATGGCAGAGATGATGGTATGTCTGACTTCTAGAACTAGGTCATAAAAGGCACTGAAGTGTCCTCATTGTTCTCTCCCTATTATGTGTTCTAGAGAAATCAGCAACAGCGTCCTAAAGACACTTAAGAAACCTAATGGAGAACACCCAGTGGCAATGAAATAGGGTCCCAGCCAATAGCTAGCAAAGAATTGAAGCCTCTTGCCATAGACCAATAGTTAAGTGAGCTTGGAAGCAGATTCTAAAGTCCCAAAAGAACCCTAAGACTGCTTTCCTGACTGATAGCTTGCATCTCATGAGGTCAGATTCCCAGCTTATCTGCTCCTAAATTCAGGAACTCTAGAAACAGGGGAATCACAAATGTCTTCTATGCTACTAAGTTTCAGGGTAATTTGTTCATCAGCAATTATGAATCAAATCTTCTCATAAATTTATTTCCATTTATTTACAAAAACTTTATGTGAGTTTATTCTAAACAAAAAGCTTAAGAAATCCATTTCAGTGCTGCATGATTTTTTAAGACTTCCACTTTCTTTCAAAAATGTACTGGAATATACTTATATCAAGAAAATTTTCAGCCAGCACCGCGGCTCAATAGGCTAATCCTCCACCTAGCGGCGCCGGCACACTGGGTTCTAGTCCCAGTCGGGGCACCAGATTCTGTCCCAGTTGCCCCTCTTCCAGGCCAGCTCTCTGCCATGGCCCGGGGGTGCAGTGGAGGATGGCCCAAGTACTTGGGCCCTGCACCCCAGGAGAGACCAGGATAAGTACCTGGCTCCTGCCTTCGGATCAGCACAGCACACCGGCCGCGGCAGCCATTGGAGGGTGAACCAATGGCAAAGGAAGACCTTTCTCTCTCTCTCTCTCTGTCCACTCTGCCTGTTAAAAAAAAAATTTTCATTACAATACAATGAAAATTATTTAGAGTTTCATGTTTTATCATAATGAGCATGGAAATATTTGTCTATGATGAAATAACATGAAAACATGGGGCAAAAACTTCATGATGTATCTAGAGAGGCAAAATATGCTAGCATTTAGCAATCTGGTAAAACTGTTATAACGGACCATGAAACAATACTTATATGTTAAGCAACTGAAATGTGCACAATTGACCAGACATCAACTGAGACATCAAGCTAAACATACTTCAGTTACTAGAAATCATGATACATATTACTATTACTGTTATAATGTTTTATTTTAATGGCTATTATCAAATTTGGAATCTCTACATTGAATCCAGATCTTAACATTTGATTGAATATCATTTGATTATTGTGAATTTTCAATTTAATAGTGGCCTTTCTTAGGACTTGTCATTTTCCATTTCTCTTAAATAAATACATTTATTCCATCCTCACAATCATTTCTCAAATAGGACACTCTAAAAGTGAGTTAAAATGTTAGGAGCTAATACTCTGAGAGAAAAATTCTGTAAATTTTGGAATTATTGTGGTC